TGCAAGCCTTGGGTCAAAAGGTATTGCAGAAAGACTGTTTTCGAAAAAGTCTGCTATTTTGGCAGTTTTTGCCCCCTGCAGGCAAAACCGTTAACGTTAGGTCAAATCTGAGAAAAAAATACTCAGACAGGGCGTTGATAGGGCTATCGAATGCGCTTTTCCGGGGCGCTGTAGCTCTATTGGTTCCCGAGTTATGCGTTGGTTTCTTGAAAATTGTCGACATTCAACCTGAAAATCGGCGAAATTTTGCCTTCAATAACCTCTGGTGACCTGGACATTTGACCTGACCAAAAAATGACTGAAGAGATTTTATTATTTTTAACGCTCTTTCGAACGCTGCCTTTCGCGTGTCGCTACGTGGCCCAGGAGCCGATTTAGAAAGGGGGATGTTCAAACATCCCCCCCCCCCCAGCAGGGCGCGGAAATCCAGGACCCCCAATGGGGCGCGGGCTAATGAGCCGATTATTGAACGGCAAAAAAAAAAACGTTCAGCCGTCTTCTTTTAAGCCCTATTTGATGTCAGGCTGCCACCCCTCCCCTTCCACCGGCCCCACATCATGACTTGTTTACGTCGTTCAGGTCTCTTTACAGTAGGGTTATGGTGGAACTTTGCTCCGCTGTGATTTTACGCGTCACGCAAACATGAGTGATTGGCCCCCACTAAGGCAGACCAATGAGCGCCCGGCTGGTGAACCTAAACGGCGCCGGTATCCGCCCGGGGCGGTGGACGGGGTCAAGGCGAGCGATACCAGCATGACCTCTGGCCGGCCTCCACCTGTTTCGACCCAGATTTCGGCCACTGATGCCTGCGTCATGTAGCAGTGTTCCTCCTACCGCCGGCGTAAAATCGTGCTACAGCGTACTATTTATGATACAGGCCATGACCTCACTGCTGGGGTCCTCAAGCTGAATGGAATAATTCGCCGAGCCGCCGCAGCCCATGACGCGATACTTTCAAGAGAGACTATACTTATCCACGGGTCAGGTCGAATGAGGTCAACTGAGGTCAAATGACGTTTGTGCCAATAGCTTAAATAAAGATAAAGCTTTCAAAATGGTATCATTCTGTTCCTTTTGAACAGTCGAGTCGAATGATATGCAACATTAAACATTTCGACCATTCTTAAGACATAAGTTGTAATAAAGTTGTGCTGAACTTTTTAAATACACTTAAGTAAGCAAAAAAGTATATCATTCGACGCGCCTTGTCGTGCTGAGCACGGCGGTGTTTTTAATTTTTTGGCTGACTTAATGAGTAAAAAGTAATAAGCAAAAGATTATGGAGCCGTCACGGCGAATTTTTTACATTTTGATCCCCCCCAAAAAAACCTTTAATATTGACCTAGAGTCACCAAATTTGCACAGGGGCAGGGGCGAGAATTCCGGGGAGCCCACCTACCTACCAAATTTTTCTAGGTGCCATATCAGGGGGGGGGGGGTCGCATCGACCACCCCCTGCCAGGCCGCGTTATGAAAAATGCCATGCCTGGGCGAGGGTTAACCCGCGCCGGGCCGGGGGTGTTTGAACACCCCCCTGCGGTTTTCACAGATATCTCAAAAAGTTTTTGGCACATCTGTTCGGGCATCTTTTCCGCACATGTTGTGAAAATTTCAGACCCAGATCACCTTAGGTCAGGTCACCAAGTCACGCCAAGTGACCTCACCTAAGAAAAAATAAGAATGCTCGTCATAGCTACACCGATTGATCGATTGCCTTGAAACTTCCAGCGATTGATAAGAGCAACATTATCTATAAAATTTATATCTCGGAATTTTGATATCGGTGACCTAAGGTCAGGTCAATTTTGCGACCTCTCCATTATAAGTCAATGGGAGAAAATTGAAAAGCGTCTGTTTTGCACGAACGCTATGCTAGACACTATCAAACATCGAGATGTAGGTAAAACTTACACACTGAACCGGAAAATGGCAACTGTGACCCCTCGTTATGTCCCCGAGGTCATCTCAGGTCACAAACAGAATCTAACAGTTTTTCGCTAATAACTTCTGATAGAGGCGTGCTAGAGCGCTGAAAACACCTTAGATGTGTTCGGCTCGACGTTGCGGATCGACTGATATGCAACATGACCTTTTCCCGTCAGGTCATGACCTTGACCTGAGGTCAAATTTTCAAGTTAACTTTTCAAGGTCAAATTATAGTTCATTCAACGCGTCTCGACGAGAGGAGCACGATGCTGGCAAAAGTAATGTCATGGCTCTTTTGAATCAAAAGTTATTGCCGAAAAAAAAACGCTTTTCGTAAAAACGTTTTTTTTTGCCCTCTGGAGGCTAAACCGTTGACCAGAGGTCAAATCTGAGAACATTAATCAGAAAGGTCTTTAAAAGAGCTATCGAATGCGCTTTTCCGCGGCGCTGTAGCTCTATCGGTTCCCGAGATAGCCGTTGGCAGTTTCCAAAATGTTGAACTAGTCAACATTTTACCTTTGGTGACCTCGGGTGACCTGACTGACCTTTGACCTGACCCAAAAAATGACCGAGTGTTTTCGTCCTTATTTTGGACGTTCTTTCGATTTCCGCTTACCGCGTGTCGCTACGTGGCCCAGGAGCCGAGTTAGAAGGGGGGGGGGTTCAGACACCCCCCGGCCCGGCGCGGAATCTCAGAGCACCGGCCCGGCGCGGGTTAAGCAGCCTTGTAACAAAAGCCACTTGATTTTGTAGCTTAGGGATGTGAGATGTAGGCTTCAATGGGATGCCGGCTTATCGATAGGGACTATAGCAAGATTTGCGTGGGGCTCACGAGGTCCACGAGCCTCTCCTATTTTTCGGCCAAGGGACTCGTTATGCATTTGAGACCCTCCCCCAGCTCGACACATCTAAATCTATAGCATCACCCAGGTCTACATGCTTACTCTTCTCGGAATGAAAACGATCATAAAACCGGTGATGCCGATGGACTTTTTCCGTAGACCCGGACCGGTGCCATACGGTGTGGATATGATGTGCCGCTTAACAATAAGCCAAGTGACACAGTCTACCCGTACCAGGTGGCTGCACTGTCAGTGCTTGGGTATAGATAACCGGTGGATAAAGAGTCCCTAGCGATGAAGCTGTTACCGACCGTGCAAAAAAGTTTTCGTTGTCTTTGTGCTTGTCATAACCACTCATCGTTTGTGTGCATAAACGTACTTGTCATCGTGCTCCTGTGCATATATGTATGCATGTATGTATGTATGTATGTATGTATGTATGTATGTATGTATGTATGCATGTATGGGTGGGTGGGTGGGTGGGTGTGGGCCGTGGGGTGGGGTGTGTGTGGGGGGGGGGGTGCGTGTGCGTGTGTGTATGTGTTTTACAAAACAGATTTAGGAACATTTGTTAAGGAAATCCTGCCTAACTAGTTCTTTCTCTTTATTTGTTTGGACAAACAAAAACATGTTATACATGAGTGTAAAACATCTCATGATGCAACACTGTCGAAAACGGAAATACTTTTTCATTACTCAGAGTGCTCTTAGGTCATCTGATAGCAAAACCGGCTATCCGGACCCATAAATGTTCTTTTTTATTTAGACGTATTTCTGGAAATTAAGTTTATAGTCATTTGACATTGTCATAATAGCAATGCTTACATGCATTTTTACAGTAAGATTATTTGATAAGTAATATTTTCCCTCTTATCTCTTTTCTGTAATATGTAATATATAATATCTCTTATCTCCCATCTTAAAAGTGCTAAAAGCTTGTAACAAAAAGGTGTTTCAGTCAGTATTTTTCTTTTTAGACGACGTGGAGAACGCTACCGAGAGCGGTATGTGACACGAGAAAGACGATCGGGTCATATCACCCTGAACATCTGGGGGTGGATCGACGGACGAGGAAACGGCGGGATTTGCAGAATTGAAGGTCGCAACACGTCTGCACGATACTGCGAGACGCTCGAGAACGTAAGACAACTATTGGCTAATTATTGAGGGACCTCTATGCCTGTATTTTCCCGATTATGGTGTATACTTGATTTATATACTTATGCCCAGACATCCCATGTAGAGGCTCGGTATAATCTGAATATTGCACTTAGTGGCTGCACAATTACGCCACATATTAAAAACTCATGACATGGGTAACGTTTGGTAAAACGCTGACCACTGGGCGCACTGGTAAAATAACACGGATAACAATGTCATTTCGATTTCACCTGTGTGTGCTGTGCAATTGTATGCTGTGCAGCCTCGCCATTAAAATCGCTCGATTTGCTGCGCTGGAGATCACGTTTTAGCCTCATTCAATGCACCATTGGCGAAAGCAAATCAAAGTCATCGGTGAATTTCAACCGTGCTCTATGTTCATTTATCTATGAATTTATTTAACCAATGTATTGGCACCAGGTGTTCCTGCCCGCCTTGGAGGAGCTACGTCCGGAGGAGCTGCCGCCTCACCTCCTCCTACAGGACAACGCCCCCGCACACACGGGCCTCGCCACAAGAGCGTGGTTCCAGGCGCACCCGCAGGTATTTGAAGCTGCTTGCTAACGGGCATCAAACATGCGGTATTGATGAAAACCCATTAACAACAAACACTTATCTCGGTTAAAGGAAAGCTAATTTAGACAGCTTTACGCTTCGCAAACGACAGCTTTCGGTCTTATTTTTTGTCATGCAACAGTTCAGGTAGCAATAACAATGAACAGTTTAAATATCGCATTCAATACAACATGTTTTTTTACGATGGCTTTCCAACCCTTAAGCGCAGTGCGTTCTCTGAATGGATACAACTGAATAAAGCATATGCTTTTTTGGTATTGCCGAATAATACAATTGATAATGTCAAAGTGTTCACTGGCCATCACCGATTAGATGAGGGGTAGGAGTTAGTTACACCACTTATTGCTTAGGTTACGGTAAAGGCAAGGTTACGGATCGTCCGTGTCTAAATGCATCGATGTTGGTTTGCATTTTCAGATCGAGACCCTGCCGCATCCACCAAAAAGCCCCGATCTAAATCCGATCGAGAACGTGTGGGGTCTTATGGTGGAGGAGATGGCAGAAGAGCTCCGGCACTCAGCGCGGCGCCTGAACGCAGATGAGCTCTGGCACTGCATCCAGAGGAAGTTCGAAGCCCTTCGCCGTCGTCCGGGCTACTTCACCCGCCTGGCGGACTCGATGACGCGAAGGCTCCGGGAGGTGATCGACGCCGAGGGAAGCTGGACACGGTACTAGGTAAAATGGAATACAACTCAACTCTTACAAATAAACATACATCATGTAAACCATATGGGCCCTGGTTAGGACCTCGTTTCTACGAGCTTCTGTAAATTGGCAATTTTCTTGTGAAAGGTGCATAGTAGTTCTCGATTTGCCTATCAAAACACTGCAGCCCAACGGTGCCTTTTACGCACAAAGAAGCGAAAGGGTGGTCCTCAAGGTGCTCGAAGTAGATAAGTGTTGTAAAGCCAGCAGTTCTGGTTATTGCATCATTCCAAAGTATAAGGGAGCTCCCTCACTGTTTTTGAATTCACAATGTCCACAAAAGGACTAGGTCAAAACTATTAGGCAATGCTCCTTCGTACTATTTGTTTAAATAGCGTTGTCTAGTGGTCTAAATTTAAAACGTTACTTAACAAAGACACCTGTGCTCCACAGCTCATCGTCACAGCTCACCAGGCTCGGGACGAAGCGGCGGACCAAGAGGAGGCAAACGTCGAGGGGACGTGCACGGACCTTCACCATTGGATCCCGACCGTATGTGTGTGTGTGTGTGTGTGGTGTGCCTTCCCGGAGCCTTCGCGTTATCGAGTCCGCCAGGCGGGTGAAGTAGCCCGGACGACGGCAAAGAGCTTCGAACTTTCTCTGGATGCAGTGCCAGAGCTCATCTGCGTTCAGGCGCCGTGCTGAGTGCCGGAGCTCTTCTGCCATCTCCTCCACCATAAGGCCCCACACGTTCTCGATCGGATTTAGATCGGGCCTTTTTGGTGGATGCGGCAGGGTCTCGATCTGAAAATGCAAACCAACATCGATGCATTTAGACACGGACGATCCGTAATCTTGCCTTTACCGTAACCTAAACAATATGTGGTGTGTGTGTGTGTGTGTGTAGGGGTAGGTGTGTGTGTGTGTAAATAGCTCAGTGGCGCTGCTTTGGCAAAATACATGATATTTTGAAGTGCAAAATACATGATATTTGAAGTGTGCCTGGGATTGTTTTCAGTTTACCCACCCTGTGATTGATATGTTCTGTATTGTTCTATGAGCAACATAAAACGTGAGGCATGAAGTGCAATCATTGCGTTAGCTACCGATATACTGAATAAATACCACACAACCGCCATCAATTGTTTTCGCCCTTTCGAGGAAGAAAAACAGAGCTTAATGAGCCAAATGGGGGGTAATTTTTGACCTTTGCACAGGTTGTGCAAGCCAGTGACGGTATGCCGCAGCGGCCAAGAGCGTCCCAGAAAAATGCACCAGTAAGGCGCCGGAGTAGCGATAGTGTGCCCGTGCAGTGAGAGACTGAAATGTCCGAATAGGGCCCTGTTTCACGACTTGACGCAACCTGACGCTACTGGTATCGTCTGCCATTGGCGTCAGGTATAGCGTCAAGCCGTGACACAGGGCCTGGGGCAGCCCGCCCTGCCGTTCAAACGGTCATCTCGGGAAAAAAGTAGTTATGATCGATTGAGAAGCCTCACCTGAACCGGTCGTGTGTTTGGGATGACCGCCGTCCGGATAGGGAATCGTGAGGGGGATGCGGATGTTTTTGTTCTGAGGCAGACAAGGATTGATTTACTACTTCTCTAGGCAAGGCACAAAAAGGCAACGTCCTTACAAAATCGATGACCCCAGCGTGCCCCGAACACTCTACCTGCCAATCCGCAGTCCAATATCCTCCGCTACGCCACGGAGTTGGCGCAGATCGTGTTTTGAAAGTAGATAGGTCTGTCGGAAGCCGCAGAGGTGTATCACTAGTCGGGAAACGATCAGTCGGCACGTGGCCCGCATTCTGCGTCAGTGGGCCAGGCCTCTGGCTAGGTCGGTCACGTGACCGACTGACCGACTGGTGGTAAAGGACTCTGCACCGTAAACACAAGGCGGCACCAGATCTGAGGCCCAGGGCCAAGCTGACGGTTATGAGATGATAGAGCAGATATCTTCCTGGATATCTTCTACAGTTTAAGATTGCAGTTTAAAGCCCGAATGGCCCGTGTCATTGGTGCAACGTGCAGAGGTTTTGCCGGCACCCCTTGATGACAGCATTTAACATTTATGATGACTTCTCTATGCACGCTCATAAATAGCTGGAATCTTAGTAAGTCGCTGCAATAAGCTTTTCTATAGTAGACAATGAAAATTAGTGAAACGCGTGAAAAGGTTGGACACGCAACGACCTACAGAAAACTATTCACCGATAAGTTGTCAAATTACAATGGCACAGATCTCCTTTTCTGTAGAAAAGTAATGAGCCCGGCGCGACACGAACTCGCAACCCTTTGATGACCAGCCCGACGTCAAACCACGGCGCCACGGATCCGCAGTTTCAGCGTGGGGCTATCGAAGTTAAAATGTAGTTTTGATAGGTGACGACCCCATGGCACCGCACCGCCCATCTGCGCTTTGGTCACTTGGCCAAGCCTCGGGCGGGGTCAGTATGTGACCGGTTTGAAGTGAGGAGTCAGCTACGCAGCTTTTGTCCACGGGGCAGGGGAGAACGTAGGTCGCGAGGTCATTCACTGGCGCCTTTGAGAAAACTTTTGAGTGGTTGCGTGGCGCCGGCGCGGTGGTCAGCGAATCCCGAGCAATTGACAGGTGGAATTCTCAGCAAACTTTGACACAGTAAAAAGCAATAGATAAATCGCGTAAACAACAAACACAGTAAAAAGCAATAGATAAATCGCGGTAAGGTCTTACAGAAACGTAAAGATCATTTTTCCATCAGGTCATCGCTAAGGTCACTGGAGCTCACCAAAAGTAGGTAATATATCGCGAATTTTGGTTCTCGATTTTGACAACTTATCAGAAATTGGCGCATAAATCGTGAACCAATAGAGGTAGTGCCGCGGTAAAGCATATTCGTTAGCTTTAAAAAAATGCAATTATTTTCTAAATTTGACCTAGGATCAACAATACCTTCCAGTTGGCAAAAACTCAAAATTTGACGTTTGGTGGATATTTGTTCTGTAATAACTTGTGACGCTAAGCTTTTATTACGTTGATTTGACCGGCATCGCGTTTCTCTCGTCGAGACGCGTCAAGCTTACTTTAAGCTGACCTGAAAAGGTCAGCTGAACAATTTGACCTCAGATGAAGGTCATGGAAAAGGTCATATTGCATGTCGCGGTCGATTAGTATCGCTGATCTGAACGCGCACACGGTGTTTTGAGCGTTCTGGCATGTTTTTATCTTTACGACGTTTCATGACGTGAGATGACCTCAGCTGCATAAAAGGGTCTACGCATGCAACTTACTGATGCAGTGTATCATATTTGTCTGTATCCCAATGATTGAAAGTGCTGTCGCTTAAAAAAGAACATTGCAATTTTCTCCCATTGACTTATAAACGGGAAGTCGCAAAACGACCTGAACTAGGTCACCGATATTAAAATTCCGAGACATGCAAATTGTTGGTACTGATTCCTTCATGCCATTACGCGGGTTTCAAAATTCAAGGACGAAGGTAACTGTGGGAAGCACAGAATCACAAAGTTGATTAGAGGCATGGTCACTCAACTTGACCTGCTGACCTGACTTCACGATGTGACCTGGGGTCAACAATTTCACACATAATGCGATATTAATGTATCACAAGTTATACCGAGTTTCGCGTCGCTGTGCGCTGCGGTTTTTGTTACAGACGCAAAAAAAATGTTAGGTGTGGCCAGAAACGCAGGGAGAACAATATTATGAATTGCTGATCTCATTGCGCTAACTACGACCGCAACCAGCATCATACTCGAATCCACACAAATAGACCAGCGATTCGCGGTGCAGGCACCTTAGCCACACATATAATATGTGAGCGGTATGGCGACCAGCGCGGCGCGTCCCTGAAGCCGGTCAAACGCGTCTCTGGCGAGCGTGAGGCCAGTGAGATATACTGTGCCGCTGAACCTGGGTGTGATGCGGCGCAGTCTACCGTTCCGGCCAGAGGGATATACTGTGCCGCTGAACCTGAGTGTGAGACGGCGCAGTCTACCGCTCCAGTCAAACGCCTGGCCGTCGGGGGGCGAACATCACTTAGTAGGTGAGTGTACCTGAGCAGCTGGTGAAATTCGGACCCGCCAGAGACCGGTAACGGCGGTAAGCCAGAGTGGCGTCACAAGAAAGAGGGGACGGAGAGATTTCCGCTTCATGAGCGGCACCGGCGCATTAGATAAAATCGGACGCCATTTAATTGCGTCCCAGAAAAGCTATTTCTGGCACCTAAAAGCTGACTCGCCCCAAAATTGGTCCTCAGCACCTATTTGGTGGATACCAGCACCAATCATGGAAAATGACCTTAATTAGCTGTTTCTGGCACCTATTCATCGGTACGCCTTACTCTTTTTTTCTGAATCTGGCACCTAAATGCTGAGCGTAGCACCAATCTAGTAGAAAAATGAACTACTGGCTGGTAGAATCATGTTGTTCTGGTACAATGACCCCTGGAGTCTAGCCTAAAGGTTGCCAGTGCAGCTACACTCTAAGACAGCCCCGTAGTGATCTCAGCATTGTATATGACGTTTAAGTAAGCAAATAATATTGATTTGCTTGAAAAAACAATGTCATTTAAATATTTAAAAGTATTTATTTGTAATGCTTAAAGGGAAACATTTTTGTGAGTAATTGTCTCGATTTTGACCATTAAAACGGGTATTGTATTTTTGGCGTCATCAAATAGTTCCAAAAAAGAAATGTAATGTTTTCATTTGGTGGCGAAATCAATATTAAGGTAAAACGGAACATTTAAACGGAAGATTGACATTTCGGCAAATTTACACTTCAACTAATCAACATTTCGACTAATTGACATTTCGACTAATCGACATTTCGGCAAATTTACATATTGGCTGATGCATTTCGGCAAAAAGGCATGTCGGCAAATGGCATTTCGACTTAAAGCATTTCGACTTTTTGACAAGTCGGCAAAAAGCACATCGGAATTTGTCCGGACACCGGATGGGTGCACGGCGCACGGTGTATTTCCAGTGTCCACTGACCAGGCTCCGGGTCCCCCTCCCCACTGTCCAGTGAGGAGTATTAGCCGCTCGCCGGCGGGGGTCTCATGGTTGCCAGCCACTCGTTGTCGCCCGGTTCGTGTATACTAGCCATAGGAGTACTATAGGAGTACTAGCCGCTCGCCGGCGGGGGGGGGGGGCATGGTTGTCAGCCACTCGTCGCCCGGTTCGTGTAGGGGAGAGTGCCCAATCTGCGCCCGGTCTCCTAATTGCGCCCTCGTCATTTTTTGTGAACCCAATAGGTCAATTGGTGTTTAGAAAACAATTTATTAATAACAATCATCAAACCAATATTTTTCGACCTACCGCTACCAGCGTAAGGCTGTAAGCCACGTACTTGGAGTGGTTTTGTTGTTGTTGTTGTTGATTGGGGCTTTAGGGCGCGCCGACTGCTAAGGTCATTTTGCGCCCATAACGTCGTACTAATAAAACAAGTGTGCCACAAGAAAGAATCTTCTAGATACTAAGACTAGAGAGCAAGACTCGATATAAAATAGCAAGGTAAGATAAGACAGCGCAAAGGTGTCGTCCTAGACAACTGACTAGATGAAAGGACTAGAGAGGGCTAGTTGGATTGGGGTCAGGTCGAGTAAATCACTTGGAAGTTGATCGAGCGGATAAAAGAAAAGATGTTGCCGGATAAAACCCAGGGTGACTCGTCACCCAGTAAGCGACGGATAGTGGTACCCGGAGCGATGCGCCCGAGGTAGCGTGTCCGGTTCGGTTCAGCGAGAGGACAAGATAAAAGCACGTGAGAGACAGTGAGAGGCACGGTACACCTGCGACAGGTGGGCTGCTCTTCTCCGCGGAGGAGATGACCATGCGTGGCATACGTATGGCCGATGCGCAGCCTACATAAGACGACTTCGTTATGTCTGTTACTTTGCATGGATGACGACCAAGGCTCGAGAGTTGGCTTGATATCTCTCAGCTTACTGCTCGCGCGCGAGTCCCACTCTGCCTGCCACTGCGAGAGCATGGAAGATCGTACGACGGGATAGTAATCCCGGGCAGGCAGAGGAAATCGCCGAGTGTAGGGCGCTGCGGCAGCGCGTCTCGCGGCGGCGTCAGCAAGCTCGTTGCCTTGGATTCCAAAATGTAGTGTTTTCTTATCCTGAGCCTGCTTACTTATTGAACTGTTACTCTCCAGGACCCTGCAAACGACTCGCTCCCATGCCCGGCATCCGACCTTCTAAATCCACTATTTGCCGCATTCAAACAATCAGTGCAATTCGATTGGGACATCAACGCCCACTATCATCTCCACCCAATTAAGCCCCGTCTCAAATCATGGCCCTCATCCAATCAGAATACGAGACTAAAAGAAGTGATTCTCGCGAGACTTCGGATCGGCCACACGAAACTAACACACAGCTATATTTTTGAGCAAACTCCGCCTCCTCTATGTCATCGATGTAATATTAGATAATACTTATGTAATATAAGATATACAACAATCAAGCATTTCCTTCTACATTGCCCTCTATACGACGTTGAAAGACAACAGATGAAAAGATATGCCACTACTAATCGACTTCCAATGACGCTCCCTACTCTTCTTGGTGATTCGAATCCAGATCTACTTGACCTTCTGTTCGTTTTCCTACACAAAACGAAACTTGAACGATCCTGGGGCCCAACCCCACCATACGGCTCTTTCACCGGCCGCCAGCTCCCGCAGGCACTCCGATGTGGCTACCTAAGAGTAGCCGTCGACCCATGGGTCCCCGCACCCCGGCCATGCCCCCAATGCTGGGAGTTCGGCCACTCCAAGCGAGCGTTCCGCCGGCGCCACCCCCGCTGCGGCCGGTGCAGCGCGGACCACGACACGGGCGGGTGCGAGCGCGAGCCGACTTGCATCTCTTGCGGCGGCCCTCACCCAGCCTGGGACCGCCACTGCCCCGTACAGAAAGACGCCAGATCCTGGCACCGGGACCAAGTGCGCGCCCAACAGGCGGAGCATCTGGCCCACTCTGGGCACCCGAGCCGCGCCGAGACACAAATGAACCTCACCCCGGCCCCGCTCACCTCCATCCAGGCTCCACCCACTCGAAACGACGACTCAGCAGATGACAACGATGACAACGAGCAATCGCCGCGAGAGTCCAACAGATCGCGGCACTCCATGGGCTCTCAGGAAAGTCTCCTTAAACAATAAACAACCCCCGCGCCGCGACCCCAGTATCGGATGATGATAATGGTTCGGTTTGGGCGGTTACAAAGTCACGACACGCTTCCAACTTAATTCAAGTATTGTCATCTTGCAATTTCAGCCCTGCCAAGCTAGCGAGCTGTGCCAGCCTAAAAGAACAATTCCAACTTAATCCAGTGTCACCATATCCCTTTGTTCCAACCTAATTCAGTCGTCGGCAACCTAATAAAAACTACCATCTTAACAAGCCTTGCCTGCTTGATATTGACCAATCAGGCAGGGTGTCAACTAAATTCAAAACTTGCCAACTTAAAAAGGCATACCATGATACCAGACAATATTGAATATCACCGCCAGCCAAATCATTAAGACTGCCAGCCTTGTATCAACCTATCAGGGCGGGGCTAAAACTCAAAGCACTTTTTGCCAGCATCGATTCAATCTGCTCCAGAGCCTCCTCGCAATCACACCGGAGCCCCGAGTTAATGGTTAAGCTTGCGTTGGCCAGCGTATACCTACATACACCGACATAGACCAACGGAGCTGACGACCTAGCCTGCTGCAGATCAGCAGAATCAAAAGAAGAACACGCGCAGACAACGGGGTATGTAACTATGTGGCCTTCTGCCTTTGTGTGTAAAAACATGTCTTATAAATATGCGCTGTCCAACTTGCTTTTTGCATATATGTGCTAAACCATTGTGTTTGACAGGAATGGCTGACAACAATGAAAGTGCGTCACACCCGAGGGCCGGCCAGCCATGACTGAAGCGGTTCCGGGAGCAGCAGCAGCGGGCTCACGGGGTGGCCGAGCCACGGCTGGCCGGGCCTGAGATAAGCCGTCCGGCGCCAGGGCCGAGCCGGCCGCCATCTCCGCCGCCGCTGCCAGCCTCCGCCTACGGGAGGGAGGTGGTGCCCCTTCCTCCGCTGCAGCCGGCTCCTTCCCAGGCCAGAAGGCAGCGCCGGGCGGCCCCAAAGGCACGCCAGGCCGGCGCCTCAGCTGCGCTGCCCCCGCCGAGGACTGCCAGCCCTGCCATCAGCCCTTCGAGGAGGACAGCAGCGGCCTATCTGGCCATCGTCAGGCAGCGGTATCGGCGGGAGCAGCAGGCGGCAAGGCGGCAGCTGCAGTCGCAGGCCAACAGGCCCTGCCTGGAGCCTAAGCAGCAGGAGCAGCCGCCTCCACAGCAGCTGCCGCCGCCTCAGCAGCCGGAGCCGGGGCGGAGCGGGATGCTTCGGCTGGCACGCAGTCCGGGCCCGAGCCCGCCCGTGAGGGCAGCGGCAGCCTCGCTGGCTCGGGCCAGGGCAGGAATTTTACGGGATAAAAAGTCAGTTAGGAGGCGGCTGGTGATGTGTTCACCGGAAAAGGAGCAAAAGAAGAAGGAGAAAGAGAAGAAACGAAAGAAACAGGAGAAAAGGGAGAAACGCAGGGCAGAGAAAATGGACCGAAGGAGGGCAAAAAAGCCCTGCATAGACGAAGACATTGTGCCGTCGTCGTCGCCAGAGTCGACGTCGTAGTCGTCGTCGGAGCCACCAAAGCTGAAGCTGCCAGGCCTGGAAACGGCGGCAGCACCGGAGCTGGAGCCGTCAGCAGCCCTGGAGACGGAGGCAGCCTCAGAGCCAGCGGCAGCACCGGAGCTGGAGCCGTCAGCAGCCCTTGAGACGGAGGCAGCCTCAGAGCCAGCGGCAGCACCGGAGCTGGAGCCGTCAGCAGCCCTGGAGACGGAGGCATCCTCAAAGCCAGCGGCAGCACCGGAGCTGGAGCCGTCAGCAGCACCGGAGCTGGAGCCGTCAGCAGCCCTGGAGCCAGCGGCAGCACCGGAGCTGGAGCCGTCAGCAGTCCTGGAGACGGAGGCAGCCTCGGAGCCAGCGGCAGCACCGGAGCTGGAGCCGTCAGCAGCCCTGGAGACGGAGGCAGCCTCAGAGCCAGCGGCAGCACCGGAGCTGGAGCCGTCAGCAGCCCTGGAGACGGAGGCAGCCTCAGAGCCAGCGGCAGCACCGGAGCTGGACCGGAGCTGGCGCCGTCCGGCGCCAGGGCCGAGCCGGCCGCCATCAGGGAGCAGGAGCAGCCGCCTCCACAGCAGCTGCCGCCGCCTCAGCAGCCGGAGCCGGGGCGGAGCGGGATACTTCGGCTGGCACGCAGTCCGGGCCCGAGCCCGCCGGTCAGGGCAGCGGCAGCCTCGCTGGCTCGGGCCAGGTACGGACTTACATGAGAAATGAAGCCAGTTAGGAGGCGGCTGGTGATGTCGAGCTCACCGAAAAAGGAGCAAGAAGATAAGAAGAAAGAGAAGTAACGAAAGGAAAAGGAGAAAAGGAGGAACAAGCACAGGACAAAGAAAACGGAGCGCAGGAGGGCAAAGGAGCACTGCGCAGACGTGGACATGGTGCCGTCACCGTCGCCAGAGACGCCTACAGCACCGGAGCTGGAGCTGCCCCCTGAGGCGTGCCACTGCGGCAATTTTGCGACCCTCCCGATAGGTTACGATACCACCAGCGGGCGTTTTTTAGCGTTCTTAGAACCACCGGCTGCGTGCGCCTGTCTTTATCAAGGCAGGTGACGCACCGGTGGTGCTGGAACTCCTGCGTAGGTGGTACCGTAATAGGTAGGCAGGTGCTGGTTGTTCTTTTGACTTTTCCTTTCTCCCTTACCTCTCTTCGAGGGTACTCTACCCTCCCCCAAACCCTCCCTCTTTCTTTTTCGCACTTTGTTGTTGTCGGGAGCTTCCTCGGTAACCGGTATACCGGCCCGACCGCTCACTTAATAGCTGTCCGTTTGTCTACACTGTAAACCAAATCTACAAGTTGGCTCCTTGTTACAAGTTTGGTTCCAATTCGCATAGGCGTCACCTTGTCGATTCACCAACCCCAGGCTTGTTGGCCAACAAACTAACAGTTTGTCTACAAGTTTGGTTCCAATTCGCATAGGCGTCACCTTGTGGATGCCTTGTCGATTCACCAACCCCAGGCTTGTTGGCCAGCAAACTAACAGTTTGTTTACAAGTTTGGTTCCAATTCGCATAGGCGTCACCTTGTTGAGTACTAGTCTGGGCCTTGTGGACCTACTAACTTCTGGATAGGCATAGTCGTTTCCTTGTCGGTTCACCAACCCCTGGTTTGTTGATGAACTAGCCTTTGACTGGGCATTGCTAGCTTACAAATTGTCAACAAGTAAGTGCACTAACGCTCTGTTCGAACTTGTTCTTCCTTACAATCGCTTTGTTTACGTTGATAACCTTAACAACTTACGATTCGCGTTCGTTTTCAATTGCCACGATACTGATTCAGGAAATATTTTCTATACGGACAGGTTATTTTTTGGCTGGAAGTGGTGCACAAAACCATGACTGGCATCAGTTATTGCTCAAAGGCTTGTGCTGACAAGAAACGAAATACTGATGGGTTATATAATCAATGAATGCATATTGCATACACCACATCCATTTGGAAGTTTCTGGAATCATAAGTATTTATTACGGTCACGTAATTAATACTATTGACTGGAGACAATTCCGAGTGCATATTTTCGAATGGATGTGGTAAATGCATGAGGTAGGTATACCCATTACCCAGTAGGTATACCTATCGTGCACCGTCAGCATATACATAAGTCTTTGAAGCAAGAACTGCTGCGTATGTGGAAGGACATGGTTTTGTGCACCGAATCAAGCCAGAAGTATAACATGCCCGTATGACGAATATTTCCTGAACATTGACCATAACAATCATGGCAGTTGCACGATCACGCAGATAATTCGAATAAATCATGATCGCCTACCAAATTAGCTTTTACAGCCCATATATGTCCATCAGTTAAGCTAAAAATACAAAGAGTTGAATTGAAGGCAAATAAATGTATTTATATATAAAAAACACCAACCGCAAAACATCTGCTCACATGTGCATGCACAGGTCTGGCCCACTTACATTGCGCGCGCAGGGGAAGGGAGGCGTCTCGACCGCGGGTATTATAGGCACGACTAGTGCGTCCCGCAGGCCAGAGGGGGCCTCACTCACAGCACGAACACCACAGTTCACATATTTCACTCTTTACTGCACAAATGCTGGAACAGCCCTCGTCGCTGATCCATGCTTCACGGCGGCCGCGCATTAACTGCTGGTTCGAAATCGCCGGGGCCCGCGCGGGCCGTTATAACGGCGGGCGGCGACCGCTGATTGGTCCGCCAAGTCTGACGTCAGGCGCAGCTGACCATAGCCGTGTTTACATAGGGTTCCCTTAATCTTCCCCTATTTCTCCCCTATTTTCAGATCGAATTTTAGGCATCATAGCGATCGCGTGTAACGTTGCTATGGGCGCTATTGTTGTTAGAAGCATACAAAGCATCGTTTATGCTGTAAACAATATAAATTGGGCTTATTTAATGCTCGAAATTCAACAATTCATATTTTGAAGTATTTTTATCCTGCCCTTCAATTCCCTCTTTAAGCGACAAATAGGGGAGGATTTGGTAGCGTAGCGCCTTTCCAAAAGCTGCTACGCTACCATATCCAGTGGTTCTCAAACTACCAAATCACAAAAGCGGCGTGCTGATTGGCCGGCAGTTCCGAATCGTCCGACTGGTGGGTCCGACTCGACAAGCGCACGTGCGCCGACTGAGGATTTTTAAGTGGCATTAACGCATAAACGGCAGAAAGTCAAGGCAGAAATTCGACAGGTGCGGTGTTCTGATATTGCCGTGGATGTGATTACACCTACTTGAATAATAGCTCAGCCGTTTTAAGTATGTTAAATGCCAGATAGTTTTCTGATTTTTCTTGCTTTGAGCTTTCATGTGCTATCACTTTTACCTCAGTGTCTAGTCTGGAAGCTATTTGGGAGAGCCCTAAAGGTAAGTAAAAATTGCAAACTGCTTCTAGAATGACTTAGTTGCGCCATATTTGTAGTGAAGCGAGGTAAAGGAGACAGAGGATTCCTTTATAAGGGACATTTAAGAGACAATTAGGGGAAGATTAAGGGAACCCTATGTAAACACGGTTCATGTGTATGCTGACCAGCTGACCAGTACAAGTTAGGCGCCGGTTAAATAACCATGCGGCAACAAATTTCCAAAACTGGTTAAGAAACAAACGTTGAAACAAATGTAGAGTTGGTCTGGATACTGAGAAATTGGTGTGCATAGTAACTATTGACTCGTAGTTGTCACCTGACAAGCAATGCACCAGACAACGGCTTGTTTAAAAAGTATCAGTTGGTAAACATACCAAGAGATGATTGGTTATATTACACAAGACTTGTCAATTTGGTTTACAGTGTAGTTTAGTACTTTTTCTCTTATTTTAGCTTCCCCTCATTCATTATAATCTTGATCAACATCTGACAAAAGCAACATGCCTTTCATCCTGGATGAGGGGGCGGCCTCACTGCCCCCCACCGAAACACTCCCCGAGGGTTCTGCCTTCGTATTTGTGAAGAAAAAAGGTTCATACCGGAGCAGCAACCCTTTCAGTATCAAGCGTTCCCTGGATCAGCTCATCGGCCCCGTCGTCTCGGTTAAGGCCCTACAATCTGGCTCCCTACTGATCGAGACAGAAAACACCAACCAAACAGAGACTCTCCTGAACACGACACACTTCATGAACCACCCAGTGCAAACCCAGCTCGCCCACCGGCTCAACACGGTGGAGGGAGCCGTCCGCAGCGAGGCGCTGACGGAGCTCAGCAACGCTGAGCTCCTCGACGAGATAAAAGGTCAGGGGGTCGTGGAAGTTCAACGACTCAAGTCCCGGGACCCCGAAAAGATGGGTCCCAACCCCACCGTCCGCATCTGGTTCGCAGGCCGTTTGTCAATGCATCATCATCATAATCGTTTACCAATTGTGACGCTCCCATGTCCCATTCCTTTCCGCCAGGGACCTAGCGGCACGGCCGCTGCCATCGAGCAGCCGCCCACCGCTTTGGCGCCGGTCATCCCGATCCCGGTAAGTGTTTGGAAAGAGAACAGTCTTTTTGATACGTCCACAATTATCGCATATTTTGGTAAAATGAATTCGCAACATTGCATGATGTGTGTGTCTTATGTCGTGTGATTGCAGTTCAATGAAGAGTCGTCGCAGATGTGGTCCTGGTACACCATGGCCAGCAAAGCCCTGGGCACCTTCGGGGCTGTGCTGGTCGTGGTGACCGACCTCGTCATGAGAGTCATTGAGTCCTCGTCATTGACTATTTGTGTTTTGTATCTCATTACATAAAACGTTGTAGTTACCAGGGCCTTAGCAGTGCATCGGCCGAATCGGCAACCTCAGCCGAGGGCGCTGTGAAAAGTGACGCTCTCACCGAACGTGGCGGTGACGTGGCGTCACCGTAGCAGCCAGCGCAGCGCCGGTGTCATTGCTAAATCTGGCCATTGCTCGTGTGCCCGTGGCCCATACACATGTGGATTATGATGCAATCAGCAGACACACAAAGTAACCAGGCGTCAATAAAGCTGCCAAAGCAGACAACGAAAACCCAAATTGATCAGTGAAATACACAAGTCTTCAAATCAATGTAACTACACACCAATAGTGCATGCAAGGGCAAATGCGAAGTGTATGCAACCAAATCAAGCAAGAATGCAATACATCACATGGTTAGCTGCTTAGGGCTTATCGACCCATCAACCAACGCGGAAAAAGGCACAAAAGAAAACACAACCGACAGGGCATCAGACACCAGTACTTCGTTGGACCCGCCACCCACTTTGTTAGTTCGTCATTTACGATCGTAGGAAACTGTTCACATTGACGTATACGAAGATCTACAAAGTTTTTTTTCTTTCAAAGCTAGATAACGGAAGGAACATATGAAACAAAGGCCGATGTCGCGGCTGAAAGAAGACAATGCCACTTTCAATGATCAATGCCATCCTCCCTGAGAAGTTGTTCTGGAAAATTGATCGTAGATGGGGTCGAACTAAGGTCATGAGTAGGGTAAGGTGCCTAATTAGCGACCCTTTCCGATTTGCGACCTACCTCCCTACAGAAAAACTGGCAGGAGAAAACGGGGTAAAAACATCGTCAAAAGGTCAGCCAAACTTTGGTTATCAAATTGAATTACTTTCCGGTCGTCGATGTTTCTTGTGGGACGTTTGAGGTGAGTTTAAATAAAAATGACTAGTTTCTTATCCAAAATGTGTGTGTTTGGGCCCTCTCTGATGAAAAGCGATGCACATTAGGATGATGCACCCTTTTTATTCTGAATCGACATTCCTTTTTCAATGGATTGCCGTTTTCCCATAGTGAATCGCTCAACTGTGCACAGCATGGCGGTTAAAAATGTGTCGCAACTCATATTTCCTATTTGCGCCTGACATGGTCGCAAATAGCTCATGAAGGGAAAGAAAGGGGAAAAGAGAGAAATGAAAATGAGGTGTTGCTGAAGCTTGCAATGTGTGGCAGGGGATGCCAAATGTCGTCACCGACTGGGGGGTGCCGAATTCAGCGCGGACCTCGAATATCATACGAGATAGACCGCAAAATTTGGGTTTCCGCCTTCTTTTCGCGTTCGGTGCATTACGTGATCAGTTTTTACTTACGCAAATGTGTTGGATAAACGTTCCTGTTCGAGTGATTGAGTGCTTTGCGTAGTAGGTTACCTTTTTGAGATCATATTTTATCTTTTCAGGCGTCGCATTTTTTGCCATTTTTAATATGGGGAAACCCATAGACTTATTAGCGACCCTCCCCGGTCGCTAATCGGGAAGAGTTCCCTATTAGCGTTTTTTTGCAATGGTTTGCCAAAATGCTCACTACAAATAAGTTAGTGAATATTGGGGCAGAAAATGACTATATTTTAATAGAAAAATGAACGATCTCTCCGAAAATCAGGCCAGTAACACAGTGGCACCCACAGAGCGTGAGCAATGACGGTTCAAATTAAGGGGGTCGCTAATTAGGCACCTTACCCTACGCTGTGTGGAATATCGTGTACTAACATGTACACTGAGTTCGGCTTATTGCACGCTCGCCTTTCGTCGCCACAAAGAAGGTGACCAGGGGTTGCAATCGTGTGGCTGATGCCCAGGCCACAGACACCTTCTCGTGTCTGCTTTAGAACAAGGAGCTCCAACAAGGCCAAAGGAAACATCTGAAGGCCAGGCTAAAAAAATATACGGCAGGTAAGAAAAAAGGGCCTCGCCGACCCCAGGGTGGCTGGATCCGCCCTAAGTCCCCCCAAAAAAGCCGTCAAGCGGCCCATGTCGCCGTCGCCTCTGCAGGCCGCCGCCTACGGGGAGGCCCCGACAAGGCAGCCCCACCAGAAGCGACCGCGCGCAGCCCCACCAGCGCGCCGGTCGACGGTCCCCGGTCCCGCTCACAGCCCCAGCCTCAGCCCGTCGAGGAGGACAGCGGCCGCCTATCTGGCTCTAGCCAGAAACAAGCATAGGCGGGTGCAGCTGGCAGCTACGCAACAGCTCCAGCTGCCGACCGGGAGCCGGGAGAGGCGGCGGCGTCATTCGCAGCAGCAGCCCCAGCGGCCGAAGAGACGGCCGGGACTGAAGTCGCAGACGCAGGCCCGCAGGAGAGAAGAAGAAAATAAAAGAGAATACATAGAAAAGAATTCAAAGACTAATGCAAGCTGGAGCGAAAGCCGTAACGGGAGCCGCAGCCGGGGCCGCAGCCGGTGTCGGGAGCGGACTTGCCGAAGGCGCCGGTACCCCACAGATTTGGTGAGCCCGCGTATTACATTGGGGTTTCCTTATTTGTATTTATTTAGTTATCACTGGCATGGTATTACTGTAGGTCAGGTGCTCAGAGTGTACAGTGTGTCTAAAAAGAATGTACCGTCGCCACTACGTGGCGCTGGTGTCGCGAGCCGGTAGTTGGCTGAATCCGCACCAGACCACACATTCCCAGGCGCTAGGTGACAGCTGCGCAGCGGCCGGTAGTAGCGTAAGCCCGAACCTTCGTGACACGACCCCGGGGGAAAGGGAGGGGAGCGGGCGGGGCAGCGCGTGTAGGGAGGGGTGCTCCAGCAAGCTGGCAGTTGTCGCGGCCAAAGGTCAAGGGGTCACACACCAAGCGAACGGACCCTGATGTGGGTTCGTGGGGATCATGAACTTGTGTGTGGTAGGTGCGTCTTGCGATGCACGGGTGATACGCCAGGTCTAAGCCAAAGGATTCAGGGGAGAGCTGAAGAAAACACCTGGTCAACTACGGCGAATAATAGTGCTGAAAAATGGAAAGTGTGGGTCAATGCAAGCCTTCATGACTATAAACAACTTTCTGAGGACGCAAAGGCCAGCATTGAATAACGATATCCGGATCGAAATTAGCAATGATTTATAATTAAATGCCGAACTAATAGCGCTGCAAAACCCTCCTAGTAAATTGTCAAGTTGGATTATACCCACTTGAATTAAACTATCCTAAATAAAATTGTTAATTAACCCGCGCGGGGCTGGGGGGGGGGGGTAAATTTTACCCCCCCCCCCTCGCGAATTTTTGCGATATCTCAAAAACGGCGGCGCGCAGCGCCGCCAAACTTTCAGTACCTTTTCTTACATCGATTTGACACGTTCCCTGAAAATTTGAGCGAAATCCGTCGGAAAATTTTTGAGAAATTGACGTTTTAGTGACGTCATGTTCGCCATTTTCGCCTCAAAAACGGCAAAAGTTCAAACGCCGCTAACATCTTCATTTTTAAAGGAATCAAGACGTAACAAAAAAGGTTATACGTAATTTTACTTTGTCTTTCAAATGGCTGTCTCGGTTTTTTAAAATTTTGGATTTTGGCCTATTTTTTTTCAAAAAACTGACTTTTTTGGGAAAATCATTATAAAATCCAAAATTTTGAGTCTATCAAAAAAACCGGAATATATGTCAGAGAAGTGGTCTATGTGCACCTACATACCAAATTTTTGAAGAATCGGTTCAAAAATGTGGGAGTTATTCAAAATTTTATGACGTCACGACACACAAATTTTTTGAAAAATGACTTTTTTGGAAGTTCTAGACCTCGTACGGAAACAAAAATAGCACCATTCGATTCGCCGTGAAAAACTGCATCAGATAGACACCTTTTTAGGCCTTAACAACCAACTTCAAAATTTGACCTCACTTGACCTGACCTTGACCTGACCTCGACCTGAAATTCATCCAGAGGTGGTCCATATCACTTATTGAGTGTGCCTATTGAATTCTATGAGTAAAATGACCCATAAAACATGTGTCGCACATGCCCTTTTCTATATTTTGTTTTTTGGTGACCTGACCTGACCTGACCTTGACCTTGACCTCTGAATGATATTGTATGCAACCAATATTGTCTTGGTAGCCTAAGAACACGTTTTGGGCGATCAGTCTCAGTCCATGACTCCATTCTTCGGCAACTACGGTGCAAGGCCGATACTGTAGAAACTTGCAATTTGTACCCTTGACCTGACCTTGACCTTGACCTCAAACTTTAAATTAAGTACATGTTTTTAGTAGTTCGTGATGAGAGCTTTCGATTGGCGTTTGAATTTTCCAAATCGGACCATTAGTTCGGGAGATAACAGGGGGGTAAAATTTACCCCCCCCCCCCCAGCCCCGCGCGTTCGGCTGGAGACCCCAGCCCCGCGCGGGTTAACTTTCTAACACTGACGTTCTTTATCATACGATAAGTATGGGGTTAACCAAGATTCAGCATCTTCCGCGTTCAAACAATCACCTGTAAGGCTAGAACATTAATGGCCAGGTAAAAACATGGTCGGGATTTGATTAACCGGATTATAAGTCGATTTTTTTAGTCGGGATTTGATAAATCAGATTTTTTTACGCCAACCGCATCTTTAAGTCAAGTCAGGTCACTGATCTATGACGTCATAAATGAGCAGTCCTAAAATGAACTGTGTGAAACTGTCCTAAACTGTCCTCAACATTTTAGGACTGTGTGCACACTCCTAAAATGTTCAACTTCGCTACACCCTCAGTGCAGAGCTTTCATAGGGAGATGAAACTTACAGGATCTTATGGTATGATCGAGAGTCGCACAACTTGTATAAATGTATATCTCGGATTTTCTGAAGGGTCGCCTGAGATCAGGTCAGTCTCTCACCATTAAAAGTCAGGGGAATATGGAAATTGCTAGTTTGGTCCGGAAATGATATACAACTATCTCAAATTCTCAAGCACACGGAATCGTGATTTCATGCGCTCCTTGCAAGGTCTGATGCTTTAATTTTGCTTTGTTGATCTTGCGTGACGTCATTTATCACGTAACCAAGGGTATCAGTTTTTCGTCAATAACTCCCGATCAACTAAAGCTACCGAGTCGATAAAGCCACTAATGGACATGAAAAGACCTGCCGAATCGATTGATATGCAATATGACCTCCTTTGACCAGCTTCGTGACCTGACGGGCTGTGACCTGACCTTGACCCGAGGTTAACACCTTAACTCTCGCCCATATTGGTGTTTTTCCAGCCGCAAACGTATAAGGGGGGGGGGGGGGTCCGTTGGACACTCCCTTGCCGTTTCGCCCCTGATCGAGCTAGAGCTTCGCGGAAAAAAACGAGCGTGTTGGCCGTGACGAGAGGAAGTCGATGATACCCAATTTTAAGGTCCTAGGTCATCGGTTGACTTTCCAGGTCAGGTCAATGACCCAAAAGTCGGGAAAATCGGGCCTGTTAGAAAGTCGTAAAGCGTGGCTGCTATGGGGTTTTCGGGGTGCTGATCACGAATATCATGTTAGTTTTGATCACAGATGATGTCTTCATGCATTTAGGCCAGGTCGGGTCAGGTCAGGTCAGGTCAACCAGTAAGGGTAGTAGGTGGCAACCGCCTCTGACAGCTTCGCAACATGTTACGAGGGCACCAAAACTACTTCGTAAATGTTCATATGGCTGCTAAATTCGAATTCAGCTCCTAAAACTGGCCTAGAAACATGTAAAACTCGAAAAAGGGAACCGAGGTCATCAAAGGTCAATGACCTGACCTGACTTTCCGGTGACCTTGACACTTGACACCCACCCTAATGCATGGAAGCAACATCATATCCCATGTTTGAACGCTTAAAACCACGAAAAGACTGCAAACGCGCCGCTAATGCGAGCCGACATACGCCGAATCGCGATTCCGGCCAAACATGGTCTCGAAAAGTAGGTCGCAGGTCAAAGGTCATTAAGGTCAGGGTCATGACAATTTCAGGGTGGGTGTAAAATTGATTAACGCGAGGGTAACGAAAGTTTCGTCGCGATCGGCCGCTTTTTACGCGAGTTATTAGCGAAAAAACCGAGGGAGGGGGGTCCGTTCGACCCCCCCCCCTCTCTATACGGGCGAGGGTTAAGTTGATCTCACCCGAAGAAAAAGTATACCATTCGACACGCCTGAGCTAGACAAACACGATGCTGCTAAAATCGCGGATCTGCGATCATTTTTAGTGAAGTTATTTACCAAAAACCGAAGCTGTGCCTTGGGCCACTTGACCTGACCTCCGAAGTCATCGGCTGACCCTGGTCCTTAACCCTATTAGTGGCAGGGGGGGGTTGTATTTATCCACCCCTCAGGTTTTTCGGGAATATCTCCGAAACCGCTGAAGCTACGATGCTGAAATTTTCTGACTTTTCCTAAAACTAAATTGGGCACATTCCCTGCAAATTTCAAGTTCATAACTTTACCAGGGGCGGCTCCAGAGCACTGGGAATTGGGGGGTCCTATTCGTGAAGCGAGTCATTTGGGCGAAGATCACGATGCTGCACCAGTTTTACGAACAGTGAATGAAAGGTATCATGTGATAACATATACAAAGTTATTGTGCATCCTCTTTTGACACGTTTTTGCTATAATAGGCGGATCCAGGCGTCCAAAAAGGGGGGTTATGTTTTACCTCCCAACATAGGTGCCCTGACACCGCCTATGCATGACCAATACAATTGTAGTCGTTCTCTCATAAGAGAATTGTAACATAACAAGACCATTACAACCCTTTTTAGAAACAGTACCAACAAAAACCTTATTTACTATACTTTTTGTGTACCCCCAATCTCAATGATCTGTATCCGCCTATGATTTTTGAAAATGCATATTTTTAGGATCCATGTGAATTCCTGGTTCATTCTCTATCGATCGGCAAAAGTTGCGTTAAGATTGGTTCAGAAACCTGGCCGTGATAAACAGTCTAAAATGTATCTGCAATTTGCCCGTTTTTACCCCCCTCTACCCCCCCTATTGACATTTTTTAATTTTTATTTTTTAGAAATGTAGATCACGTTGAGCGAAATCGAATGCCGTTTGAATTTTGAAAATCGGCCCGTTAGATCTCGAGATATCAAGGGGGGTCGTAAACAGCCCCCCCTGCCACTAATAGGGGGTAGCCAGGAGCCTGCCACTAATAGGGTTAAATCGGAGACCAATCGCTGCATTTCGTAACGACGCACACGATCGTTTCTTTCGTGAGGCTCTAGCTCAATTAGGGGCGAATCGGCGAAGGGGGTTGTTTCCTCACTTCCAACCCCCAACGTCCCTCGGTATTCAGAAAACCTGAAGGTCCGGTGAGGGTTAAAACGTTTCTCCTGAACGAGGAAGAAATGTAAAAGTCAAATCTCTATAGACGTCCTGTAAAAGTGGCCATAATAATAAATTCGTTAGAAATAAAATGCTTTTTAAACGACTTCCTCATATAAAATCGGGTGCTGGGACCAATCTTATAAACGCTTTAGAATGGACAGGGCGTCACTGGCTAAAGTTTGGGTGCAGAAAACGGCTATTACCTAAATGCAAAATGGTTTTCATGCATTTCAGTCAATTGTATATTGTCGGTCCCAGTGGCCAAGCTAAAAAAATCTCGGTAGTGTTTTGCATCTTTTACGCCCTAAGAAACTACACCATCTATCGAAGTGGGCGGGCTTATTTGAATGGGAGGGCGCATTATGCACGAATCGAGTGCTTTCGTTTATTTTGGACTGTATTTTACCACATCCACTGCTGGTATCACTATTAATATTATCTAATGCCGTGAATACGACAGCATTCCATTTATAAGATTGGGCCAATGGAGTCGCGCCCCGCGAGCTCGGTTTTCCGCTGGGCCGCTACAGGCCAGGAAGTCGGTCTTCGCCTGAGGGCAGGACAAAGGTCAGCGAGGGAGCGCGGGGTCAGCCAGGTATCGCCAAGTGCCGAGCGGATGCCGCTCCCTCCCCTCTCTTCCCCTCTTCTCCCCTCCCCACCTCGGTATAGATGGGGAGGGACCGAACTGCCAATGACATGCGAGCGGTCAAGGCCGCTCGCGCGGCAGCGACCCTGGCGGCCGGATGCCGCAACTGGGATTCAGCCAAGTTACCGATTCGCCTCCTGTGGGAGAGCCAAACCAGGGGACATACTTTTTAGATATACTGTACTGCAACTTGCTAGGTACTGACAGTACGCTGTGTGGAATATCGTGGACAAACAGGTGAAACACTTGACTTCATGCACACCGTGCACGCTGGCCTTTTGTCGCCACAAACAAGGTGACCTGAAGGTGAACAAGGACAGGTGACTGTTAGATTAATTCATCTGCATAAGTACGCTTAGTGCCAATATCACTAACTGCAATGTATTATTTCTGCAGGATCCTGTTCATTGTTCTTTCCATGTCTGGATAACAGAACTGGCGCCATTGTGGGCGCCACGCTGGCCGAGTGGCAGACAGCAGAGGTAAGACGAGCTTTGTCGATAAGTTGTGATGTATTTGAGCAGCCAGGGGTCTAATATCCTAAGTAATTACATTATAACAATCATACTAAATATCAAAGGTGGCCAATAATTGTATTTTTAATAAGAAAAATCTGTAAACAAATGAGCAGCCGCCTGACAGAAGGTTCTGCCATTGCCAGATGTCGGAGGACGGTCAGGCGTTCTCCTGGTTCACCATGGCCAACAAGACCCTGGGCACGTACGGGGCGGCGTTGGTCGTGGTGACCAAGACTGTCCAGGAGGCGCTGACCTACTTTGTCCAGCACCTCTGGCATCTCATTGTTGCTGAGCTTCCCAAATACGGTAAGCTATTTGACATTTAAAAACAATATCTATCGTCAATATCCACTATATGAATGACGTATAGGAGTGTTCAATGACGCTGCGATAGTATCTTGGTTTCCACTGCACCGACCTGCGTGGGGGAAGCTGCAGGCTGCAGTTATCTTATCGACAGGCCCACTCAGAGCCCAGTCATGATATGTTGCTGCTGTTTGGTTTGCGACAGCCGACTCCCAGAGGCTGCTGGTGGCTGCTCGGACCAGCACCGCTGTTCTGGACCGGGCGCTGAAAGCGGCCGCCGATGTCGTTGGCGGCGTGGCGCCGCACCTGGTCGTCCGGTTCAAGAACAGCATGAACCGGGCGTTCCACAACATCGAGGCAAATTGTTTCTCTCGAATGTTTCATAACTGAATGCACGCCAATCCCTATCGTTCGTAGGGTGACAGTTTTAGTTGCGACTTCTGCTCAATGTTGGCGAGTGCCTATTTACGTGCATCCAATCGACATGCAGCAGCGCCCTGCAATGTCCTGATCCGTTGCCTCGACCCTCAGGACCGGGAACTGCGGGAATCTGGCGCGCTCACCCAGAGCGCCGAGTTTGTTGTTTGTTGATTGGGGCTTTAGGGCGCGCCGACTGCTAAGGTCATTTTGCGCCCATAACGTCGTACTAATAAAACAAGTGTGCCACAAGAAAGAACCTTCTAGATACTAAGACTAGAGAGCAAGACTCGATATAAAATAGCAAGGTAAGATAAGACAGCGCAAAGGTGTCGTCCTAGACAACTGACTAGATGAAAGGACTAGAGAGGGCTAGTTGGATTGGGGTCAGGTCGAGTAAATCACTTGGAAGTTGATCGAACGGATAAAAGAAAAGATGTTGCCGGATAAAACCCAGGGTGACTCATCACCCAGTAAGCGGCGGATAGTGGTACCCGGAGCGATGCGCCCGAGGTAGCGTGTCCGGTTCGGTTCAGCGAGAGGACAAGATAAAAGCACGTGAGAGACAGTGAGAGGCACGGTACACCTGCGACAGGTGGGCTGCTCTTCTCCGCGGAGGAGATGACCATGCGTGGCATACGTATGGCCGATGCGCAGCCTACATAAGACGACTTCGTTATGTCTGTTACTTTGCATGAATGACGACCAAGGCTCGAGAGTTGGCTTGATATCTCTCAGCTTACTGCTCGCGCGCGAGTCCCACTCTGCCTGCCACTGCGAGAGCATGGAAGATCGTACGACGGGATAGTAATCCCGGGCAGGCAGAGGAAATCGCCGAGTGTAGGGCGCTGCGGCAGCGCGTCTCGCGGCGGCGTCAGCAAGCTCGTTGCCTTGGATTCCAACATGACTGGGAATCCAGCAAAACCGGATAGTTTTTCCGGACTGTTCCACCGAAGTTAGCCGAGTTAAAATGTCCTGAATGATCGGGTCGTCAGGATTAAACCGTCGTAAAGCCAACAGACTGCTTAGTGAGTCTGATAAAATCAAATAGAAAAAACCGTCGGACACCTCAATAAAACACAGAGCCTTTTCGATGGCGACTAGCTCTGAGGAAAACACCGAGGCGCTGGGTGGAAGGGAAAACGAGCGTGTGTCCCGACCAGCGACAAAAGAGCAACCCGCTCCCTCGGATGTTTTTGAGCCGTCTGTGTAGACTGAAATAAAACCATCATACGAGGCTATATGCTCCAACGCTCTGGTTTGTGCTTCATAGGACAGCAGGCTATCCTTTTTTACTTCGGAAAGCGAGAGGTCTACCTGCGGCGGGGCGTTTCTCCAGGGTGGAGAAGGCGTTCCCCAGATACGCCGAACGCCGCGCAAGGCTATATTCGATGTAGAGAATAAACCTCTCATGCGTGCTCCGAATGGATGACTCGTCCCATTACCAGATGAAGCAATGTGACGCGAAAAGACGTACGGGTACGTCGGATGCGTCGGGAATTGACGTAGTTTAAGAGCATAACGCATCCCCAGCGTCTGCCGGCGGAGAGAAAGTGGCGGCTCGTGCGCCTCAGCAAGAATGCTGCTCCTGGGCGAGGTGCGGAATGCTCCGGTGGCTATTCGGAGTGCTGCATGATGGACTGTATCCAGGACCTTCTTGCTGGATGCGTCAGAGGTGCGCAATCATTCCGCGCACACGGCAGCGCGGGATTACTCCGCCCACGGCCGCCGTCAACGGATAATCAGTTACTCGAAAGAGTTCCGCCAGGTGGTAATGGTAAGCAATGCAGGCTGCTCCTTGTAGCAACACTTGATCCTGAACCATAAATACCAACCTTAAGTACAAATGCATGCAGGCTACCTGAATAATCACCTTTGAACTCAAATAGTTTTGCGCTTACTGTACAACATTCCAACTGAGCCCTCACCGGCCAAGGTGGAGGGGAGGGGGGGGGGGCGGGTGCCGCCCGGGGTTTTCGTAAAAGCTCCGAACACGCTGTGATCGGAGCGACCCCCTCCCCCCTCCGAGAGCAGTAGGTGTTGGTCTTTCAGGCTTGCCCATCGTCGGCCGAGCCAACGTCTGCGGACGAGAGCCTGAATATCAGAAGCAATTACACAATAACAATCCTATTAAATATGAAGGGTGGCCAATCATTGTATTCTAAAACAAAAATAGAAAATTCTGACAACAACTGAGCCTGACAGATCATTGCTAGATGTCGGAGGACGGTCAGGCGTTCTCCTGGTTCACCATGGCCAACAAGACCCTGGGCACCTACGGGGCGGCGTTGGTCGTGGTGACCAAGACTGTCCAGGAGGCGCTGACCTACTTTGTCCAGCACCTCCGGCATCTCATTGTCACTGAGCTGCCCAAAAACGGTAAGCTATTTGACATTTAAAAACAATATTTATCGTCAATATCCACTATGTGAATGACGTTTAGGAGTGTTCAATGACGCCGCGATAGTATCTTGGTTTCCACTGCACCGACCTGCGTGGGGGGAGCTGCTGGCTGCAGGTATCTTGTCGACACAAGGCGTGCCACTGCGGCAATTGATATCTAGTCGATAGGCTACGGCACCTCAGCGGTTGCTTCTTTAGCTTGTGGATCCCCGGTTGTGTGCGCCCGTCTTTATTAAGGCGGGTGACACCGGTGGCGCTAGAGCCCTGCGTAGAGGTGTTGTAGTAGGAAGGTCAGCTAGGGTCGTTTTCCTTTTCTCTTCTTGTATTGTACGGTGGATTGGTGTTAACTGTTACGTTTCACCGATCTCCGTAGGCCCTGACCGTACATATTACCGTAGCTGCGTTTATGATACGGGCCCCACCATACGGCTGCGTCTGCGCATGCGGGAGCCGGGAGGGTAGGCTGACCCGCATATTGCCTGAGGCTCAATGTGGACGAGCGTGTCGTGTGGACTGGTCTGTGGCAGTGACTGACTGGCGAGCGACCAATACAGGTTGACCTCTGAGCACGAGCGGTCTCTACACTGGCGACGAGGATTTGAACCGGCGCGGCGGGGCGACTTCTACGGCCATGGATGGGGCAGCGTCGGCCACCCTGCAGCTGGAGCCCTTCAACCCGGCGACGGACTCCTGGAGCCAGTGGGAGGAGCGTCTGCACTACTTCATCGAATGTAACGGCATTCAAGGCGAGAGCAGGAAACGCGCCACGCTGTTGACGGTATGTGGGAAAGAGGCCTTTTCGCTTATTTGTAGCTTGATAGCACCGTCTAAGACGTCTGAGAAGTCGTTTGATGAGCTTTTGCAAGTAATAAGGGAGCACAAAGAACCCAAGCCATCTGTCATTGTGTCGCGATTCAAGTTCAACTCGTGTCAACGAACGGCAGGCCAATCCGTTGCTGATTTTGTGTCTGTGCTAAGGAAGGCTACCGAGCACTGCTGTTTTGGAGCCACGCTTGATGACAGACTCACTGAGCAGTTTGTTTGCGGCATCAGGGATCCTCGGATGCAGCGGCGGTTGCTGTCAGAATCCAGCCTGGACTTCAGCTCAGCACAGAGGATCTGCCTGGCGATAGAGGCTTCCAGCAGAGACGCTCACCTGATCTCCGGCACACCGGGTACAGTGCCGGCAGAGGTATGTGAGGTAGGGGCGCAAGGCTTGCCGTCAGGTCAGTCAGCTCGTCCAGGGGCTCGCTGTTGGCGTTGTGGCGGGAGAAGCCACTCACCTGATGTGTGTCGTTTTGCGTCGTACAAGTGTCACAACTGTTCGAAAGCTGGACATTTGGCTAAAATGTGCACAGTCAGAAAGACGACAGTCAGACCTCGGAGGCAGCAGGGCAGAGCAAACGCCGTTGAAGCAGATGAAGAGTGGGAGGCGGACTACACGACAGATGTTGGCCGTGCAGAACAGGATGAAGAGATCTGCAGAACGGAAGCGGTCCATCGGGTGAGTGTACCTCCCATTTCTTGTCTGGTTCAGTTTCAAGGTACAGATGTAGATATGGAGATTGACACTGGTTCTAGCGTATCGTTGATTGGGCAGGATACGTTTGAACAGTTGAACAGAAAGCCTAAACTCAAAATGTGCTCATCTCGTTTGAAAACGTATACGGGTCAGTTCATACCATTGTTGGGAGAGTTTCAAACAGACGTGTGGTATGAAGGCAAACAGCACCGTGCCCTGACAGTTGTGGTGGTAAAAGGTGCCAGGACTAACCTTCTAGGACGAGACTGGCTGGAGCACATCAACCTCAACTGGCGGGCCGTGCACGCCATTCGAACCAGTTCCTTGCAGGGCCTGAAGGAGAAGTATCGGCGCCTCTTTGAGCCTGGCCTGGGAGAGCTGAAGGGTGTAAAGGTACGTCTGGACATTGACCGTACTGTACCACCGAGGTTCTGCAAGGCCCGCTCTCTGCCCTATGTTTTCAAGGAGAAGGTGGAGGCCCAGCTTCAGAAGGACATCGACAGCGGCGTCCTGGAGGAAGTGCAGAACAGCAGCTGGGCGGCGCCCATTGTTCCGGTGCTGAAGAAGGACGGGAATGTCCGAGTCTGCGGCAACTTTAAGTTGACGGCCAACCGAGCGGTGAGGTTGGACAGATATCCATTGCCACAGGTCCCGGATCTGTTTGCAACGCTAGCGGGAGGTACCGTATTCTCGAAAATTGATCTGGCTTCGGCCTACAATCAGTTAGTTCTTCACGAGGACTCTCGAGACATCATGACCATCAACACCTCACGAGGTCTTCTCAGATTTTCGAGGCTCCCGTTCGGCTTTAACAGTTCTGTGGGTATATTTCAGAGAGAGATTGAAAAGGTTCTCCAGGGCATACCCAACGTCATTGTTTTCCTGGATGACGTTCTGGTGAGTGGAAAGACACAGGCCGAACACCTGACCACGATGGAGAAGGTGTTTTCTAGGCTTGAAGACGCGGGTCTAAAAGCCAGAGCGGATAAGTGTAAGTTTTTGGTTCAGCAGGTTGAGTACCTGGGTCACGTGGTCAACAGGCATGGAATTTCCCCGACTTCTGAGAAAACTGAAGCGATCAGGTCAGTGCCTGAACCTAGGAACGTGTCTGAGCTGAAGAGCTTTCTTGGGTTGTTGACTTACTACTCCAGGTACTTACCAGCGCGCGCTCAGAGGCTGGCCGCGCTGTACGACCTTCTCAAGAAGGACAAGGACTGGATATGGGGACCAGAACAGCGGAAAAGCTTCCACTGGGCCCAGAGTGTCCTTACCTCGGACTCTGTTCTAGCTCACTTCGATGCGGCGAAGGAGCAAGTGCTGGTCTGTGACGCATCGTCTCGAGGCATTGGAGCGGTACTGGCTCAGCGTGAAGTGGATGGAGCTGAGCGTCCTGTCGGGTACGTGTCAAGGAGTCTGACCTCTTCAGAGCAGAAGTATTCTCAGTTGGAAAGGGAAGCTCTCGCGATCGTTTTCGCGGTAGAAAAGTTCAATCAATACTTGCTGGGTAATAAGTTCATACTGGTCACGGATCACAAGCCGCTGGTAGTTTTGTTTGGAGAAAACAAAGACATTCCGGCTATGGCGTCTGCTCGCATTCGTAGGTGGGCATTGAAGTTGTCTGCGTACCAGTATGCCATCCAGTTTAGGCGCACGGAAGACATGGGTAACGCGGACGCCCTCAGCAGGCTTCCCCTGCCAGTTGCAGATGGCTCTGGCCAGGAAGATCTGGTGCTGCTGATTGAGGATGCTGTATTTGATGCTAAGCAAGTAGCACGTTTGACAGCTCGTGACCCCGTTCTTTCCAGAGTAATGAACCTGGTGCAGAAGGGCGGGTGGCCCGAGATAGCTGACCCGGCATTGAAACCGTTTTCAGAGAAACGCTGGGAGCTGTCTATGTGTGCAGGCGTGCTGCTGTGGGGGCACAGGGTCGTGATACCACAGAAGGGCCGCCAGTCTGTGATTTCAGAGCTGCATTCCGCCCATCCAGGGATCGGCCGGATGAAATCACTGGCAAGGAGCTGCGTCTGGTGGCCCCAGATTGACGGTGACCTGGAAATGGCGGTCAGACGATGCTCTGCGTGTCAGGAGAGTCGTCCGACCCCTCATCGGGCTGACCTGAGTATGTGGCCCTGGCCGAGACGCCCATGGTCAAGGGTTCATGTGGATTTTGCGGAACCAATCAAAGGCAAGTACATTTTTGTGGTAGTGGACGCCTTTTCAAAGTGGGTTGAGGCTGAGCCGTGCTCAAGTGTGAGTTCGCAAGCAGCCATGGTCAAATTGCGACGTATGTTTGCAAGATGGGGCTTGCCTGACATGCTCTGCTCTGATAATGCTACGACGTTTACCTCACAGGATTTTCAGCAGTTCGTGGCGGCTAATGGGGTTCAACATAGAACGATAGAGCCACGTCACAGTCAAGGCAACGGGCTAGCAGAGCGGGCAGTTCGTGACGTTAAGCAGGCTCTTAAGCGCAGTGGAGATGGGAACTGGGAGACTGTGTTGGCTGAGTGGTTGCTGTATCAGAGGAAAATCCCTCACTCAACTACGTCTGTGTCACCCTCAGAGCTGATGCTGGGACGAGTGATCCGGAGCCGGCTAGACCTTCTTCATCCTGACCTGCAGAGCCGTGTTCAGCGGAAGCAGCTGCAGCAGAAGCTGAATCATGACCCTGCTGTACCCCGAGTGTTACAGCTGAACATCGGGGATGCGATATATGCTCGCAATTATGGTGTGGGACCCACGTGGATATCAGGTGTAGTTGTGGGTATAGATGGATCGCAGTCATATGTGGTCAAATTAGAGGATGGTAGGATCTGGCGTCGTCATCAGGATCAGTTGATGCGGAAAACTGACGCAAACTATCCCGTCACAGGACCTGCTGCTGATGTAGCTGCTCACGAGCAGCTCAGCCCGTCGGAGCAGCTGACGGCCACACCGGCTGCCGAGGCCGTCTGCACTGGTCTGCCCACCGTACCGGAGACGGGGTCGCACCCGGCACCGTTCCCTGACACCGGTGGCTCGCTGACGGCTGCGGCGACGCAGCCGACGGGAGGGTCCTCGACGGGGCCCGGCACGAAGGATCTGCCCGCGATGCCTCTGCCATCTGAGCCAGCTCTTCCGAAGTCTGTGCCTGCATCGGCTACGGAGATGGCTCCGCGAAGATCATCTCGCGTGCGGAAACAAACTGAGTTTTTCCAGGCGTAACGTGTGTTTTCGTTATCTAAACTTATTTGTTAAAGGGAGGAGAGTGTATTGTACGGTGGATTGGTGTTAACTGTTACGTTTCACCGATCTCCGTAGGCCCTGACCGTACATATTACCGTAGCTGCGTTTATGATACGGGCCCCACCATACGGCTGCGTCTGCGCATGCGGGAGCCGGGAGGGTAGGCTGACCCGCATATTGCCTGAGGCTCAATGTGGACGAGCGTGTCGTGTGGACTGGTCTGTGGCAGTGACTGACTGGCGAGCGACCAATACAGGTTGACCTCTGAGCACGAGCGGTCTCTACACTTATATTCCCTCTCTTCCAGGGACATCCTGTCCCACCCCTCCCCACTTCTTTCTCTTGTTCTTTCGGTTGTGTACGGGGGCATCCGAGGTCACCGGCAGCGCCGGCCCTCTTCGCCCAATTTTTTATCCGGAGTCGGTCTAGTATTGCATCTGCGGCTCCGCCCGCTAGTAATTGTTCATTGTTACTTACAGCAACATCTCAGCGCCAAAGTTCTTAAACTTAAACTTAAAAAAGGCGTAAAGACATGAAAACCATGACCCGTGACTCTCTGAGGCTGCAGCCTCCCTCAACCCCCCCCCCCCCCCGACTGAGACGACACCCAAAGGTCCAGCTTTTGTTCTGATCCGCAAAACGCAAGGTGGCACCTTTCTCCACATTCGGCCTGCGCCGCGCCATCGACACCATATGTGGCACAGTCCAGAGTGTCAGGATCTCCGTACCAGCCCTCTGCTGGTAGAGACGTTTCACCGCCATCAGGCTGACGCCCTGCTGTCGGTGGCCAACCTTAAATGAACCCCGGTCTCCACCATCCTCGCCGACCGACTCAACTGCGTGGAGGGCCCTGTGCGCTCAGAGGCCCTCACCCTCACAGAGCTCAGCAATCCCGAGCTTCTAGATGAACTCAAAGATCAGGGCGTCTGAAGGTGCAGCGCCTCAGGTCCCGCGACCCTAAGAACCTGGGGCCCAACCCCACCATACGGCTCTCTTTCACCGGCCGCCAGCTCCCGCAGGCATTCCGACGCGGCTACCTAAGGGTAGCCGTCGACCCATGGGTCCCCGCCCCTCGGCCATACCCCCAATGCTGGGAGTTCGGCCACTCCAAGCGAGCGTGCCGCCGGCGCAACCCCCGCTGCGGCCGGTGCAGCACGGACCACGTCACGGAAGGGTGCGAGCGCGACCCCGCTTGCGTTTCCTGCGGCGGCCCTCACCCAGCCTGGGACCGCCACTGCCCCGTACAGAAAGACGCCAGATCCTGGCACCGGGACCAAGTGCGCGCCCAACAGGCGGAGCATCTGGCCCACTCTGGGCACCCGAGCCGCGCCGAGACACAAATGAACCTCACCCAGGCCCCGCTCACCTCCATCCAGGCTCCACCCACTCGAAACGACGACTCAGCAGATGACAACGATGACAACGAGCAATCGCCGCGAGAGTCCAACAGATCGCGACACTCCATGGGCTCTCAGGAAAGTCTCCTTAAACCAGTGGTCGGCAGGTCATTCGGGGTCGTGCCCCCTTTTTGGGCGCCAGGCAGGGCCAGTACCCCCACCTACCAGACCCCATTGCTGACACAACTAAGTTTACTGAAATTCCATACCGTCCTGGAACTCTTTGGGTATTTGTGCATTTCCAATGCATCAAATTTAAAACATGACACTTTCTCCACAAAACATTTAATGCCTATATCCCAGTAGCGGCGGAACACCTTCAATTAAGGGGGAGGGGGGAGCACTGCCGACTTTTGGTCCCATTCTTTCCATGCAACGCCCATAGGGCTAATGTTAAAATGCAAAAATCAAAGGGTGCACGGTGCCCCGGTGCCCTCCCCGTTCCGCCGCCTATGCTATATCCCATTTAACCCTTGTACGTATAGGGGCGGCGGGTGGTTTTTCGTTAAAAGCTCACGTAAAAGGCATTGGATCACGACCAAATTGTACCCTCGAGCCCATCATTTTTCTTTTTCACCAGCCCGGAAAATATCATGACCTGAGACCAGTTTTACCAACAGAAAAATAACCGCCTGCCGGAATTTTTGCCTCAAGACCGCTTCACATACGGAGCGTAAACGCGATGGGCTCGTAAGCGGATAGGGCTTTACCGTTTATGCTCCATATGTGAAACGATCTTTAGGCAAAAATTCCGGCAGGCGGCTATTTTTCTGTTGGTAAAACTGGCCTCTGGACCCATAATGACCTTTGGCTTATGAGCTTTTTCTGGAGATCATCTTGAGCCATAAAATCTCATTTCAAGAAGTTATAGCGGGTCCCGATTTTCTCGACACTTATCATTGCCCTCTTGAATGAGACGGAATGACCAAGGACCAATGGGCAGCAGCGGCTTCCTATGGTCACGGGTAGCACGCTCGTCGTTTTTTACGGAGCGAGCGAAGCGAGCGGAGTCTTACGTAGAATAACGGAAATTTCTGAGTATGAGCGGCCGGCCGGCCGGCCGTGGTCACGATTCTGCGACGCTTATATCTCAGGAACCACTTGACCGATTTACACGCTGTAATTTTTGTAGGGTAGCTTCATTCCTTCTACCAAGTATTGGACTATTCCCGATGCACGTGGGTGACCCCTTATGCACGTGCCACGTGCAAAACGAAGAGGTGTCACTTTTGTAATTGTTGCAATATCTCGGTAACTACTTGGCCGATTGCGCTGAAAGTTGGCATGTAGGTAGGCACCCACCAGGCAATGCACATCCATGTGCCAGAGTTGGGGTGCTGCTGCACGTGCGCACGTGCAGGGGTCGATTCCAGATCTCGAGAACGGCTGGACCGATGGCGCTCAAATTTGGTACATGGTTAGGGACCGGTTAGTAGGGTGCCGTGCAAAAGTCAGTTGGGACCCATTTTGCACGGCACGTGCAGGGTACCGCTTCCAGATCTCGAGAACGGCTGGGCCGATTGTGCTCAAATTTGGCACATCGCTAGAGACCGGTTAGTAGGGTGCCGTGCACAAGTCAGCTGGAGGTACCCTCTCGAAATTTCGTACGTGCAAGGGTCACCCTCTCGCTCGCTCCGTTAGTCGCCTCAAAAGGCGTTATACTGGTATGCACAGCTCCATATCAGAGTCCGAGAGGCCGCGGGGGTCCGATCGACTCCTCCCCCTTACGTTAGCGGCTGTTGAAACGCCAACAGACGGGCGACGGTTAAAAGTTGCAGCTGCTTTTGAACGACTGTACGGAGGGGTGAGATGGTGAGGCGAGCAGGTACGTGAAAATTGGTATCTAATCAATGTGTGCTGTGCCTTTGGCCTGGGCTAATCTTTGAACCCTGGGATACAACAGTCACGATGGCTCCATCACTGGAGCTACAAACTCTAAAAAGATAGGCTTTCTCAGAATCCCTCATTACCCCCACCGAAAGGACTCCATTACCCCCAAAGGGGGCATACCCCACCATTTGCCGACCCCTGCCTTAAACAATAAACAACCCCCGGTTACAACGGTTACAAAGTCACGACACGCTTCCAGCTTAATTCAATTATTGTCATCTAACAATTTCAGCCCTGCCAAGCTAGCGAGCTGTGCCAGCCTAAAAGAACAATCCCAACTTAAGCCAGTGTCACCATATCCCTTTGTTCCAGCCTAATTCATTCGTCGGCAACCTAATAAAAACTACCATCTTAACAAGCCTTGCCTGCTTGATATTGACCAATCAGGCAGGGTGTCAACTTAATTCAAAACTTGCCAACTTAAAAAGGCATACCATGATACCAGACAATATTGAATATCACCGCCAGCCAAATCATTAAGGGTGCCAGCCTTGTATCAACCTATCAGGGCGGGGCTAAAACTCAAAGCACTTTTTGCCAGCATCGATTCAATCTGCTCCAGAGCCTCCTCACAATCACACCGGAGCCTCGAGTTAATGGTTAAGCTTGCGTTGGCCAGCGCATACCTACATACACCGACATAGACCAACGGAGCCGACGACCCAGCCTGCTGCAGATCAGCAAAATCAAAAGAAGAACACGCGCAGACAACGGGGTATGTAACTATGTGGCCTTCTGCCTTTGTGTGTAAAAACATGTCTTATAAATATGCGCTGTCCAACTTGCTTTTTGCATATATGTGCTAAACCATTGTGTTTGACAGGAATGGCTGACAACAATGAAAGTGCGTCACACCCGAGGGCCGGCCAGCCATGGCTGAAGCGGTTCCGGGAGCAGCAGCAGCGTGTTCAGGGGGTGGTCGAGCCACGGCTGGCCGGGCCTGAGATAAGCCGTCCGGCGCCAGGGCTGAGCCGGCCGCCATCTCCGCCGCCGCTGCCAGCCTCTGCCTACGGGAAGGAGGTGGTGCCCCTTCCTCCGCTGCAGCCGCCTCCTCCCCAGGCCAGAAGGCAGCGCCGGGCGGCCCCAAAGGCACGCCAGGCCGGCGCCTCAGCTGCGCTGCCCCCGCCGAGGACTGCCAGCCCTGCCATCAGCCCTTCGAGGAGGACAGCAGCGGCCTATCTGGCCATCGCCAGGCAGCGGTATCGGCGGCAGCAGCAGGCGGAAAGGCGGCAGCTGCAGTCGCAGGCCAAGAGGCCCTGCCTGGAGCCTAAGCAGCCGGAGCAGCCACCTCCACAGCAGCTGCCGCCGCCTCAGCAGCCGGAGCCGGTGCGGAGCGGGATGCTTCGGCTGGCACGCAGTCCGGGCCCGAGCCCGCCCGTGAGGGCAGCGGCAGCCTCGCTGGCTCGGGCCAGGGCAGGAATTTTACGGGATAAAAAGTCAGTTAGGAGGCGGCTGGTGATGTGTTCACCGGAAAAGGAGCAAAAGAAGAAGGAGAAAGAGAAGAAACGAAAGAAACAGGAGAAAAGGGAGAAACGCAGGGCAGAGAAAATGGAGCGAAGGAGGGCAAAAAAGCCCTGCATAGACGACGACATTGTGCCGTCGTCGTCGCCAGAGTCGACGTCGTAGTCGTCGTCGGAGCCACCAAAGCTGAAGCTGCCAGGCCTGAAACGGCGGAAGCACCGGAGCTGGAGCCGTCAGCAGCCCTGGAGACGGAGGCAGCCTCAGAGCCAGCGGCAGCACCGGAGCTGGAGCCGTCAGCAGCCCTGGAGACGGAGGCAGCCTCAGAGCCAGCGGCAGCACCGGAGCTGGAGCCGTCAGCAGCCCTGGAGACGGAGGCAGTACCGGAGCCAGCGGCAGCACCGGAGCTGGAGCCGTCAGCAGCACCGGAGCTGGAGCCGTCAGCAGCCCTGGAGATGGAGGCAGCCTTGGAGCCAGCGGCAGCACCGGAGCTGGAGCCGTCAGCAGCCCTGGAGACGGAGGCAGTCCCGGAGCCAGCGGCAGCACCGGAGCTGGAGCCGTCAGCAGCACCGGAGCTGGAGCCGTCAGCAGCCCTGGAGACGGAGGCAGTCCCGGAGCCAGCGGCAGCACCGGAGCTGGAGCCGTCAGCAGCACCGGAGCTGGAGCCGTCAGCAGCCCTGGAGATGGAGGCAGCCTCGGAGCCAGCGGCAGCACCACCGGAGCTGGACCGGAGCTGGCGCCGTCCGGCGCCAGGGCCGAGCCGGCCGCCATCTCCGCCGCCGCTGCCAGCCTCTGCCTACGGGAGGGAGGTGGTGCCCCTTCCTCCGCTGCAGCCGGTTCCTCCCCAGGCCAGAAGACGGCGCCGGGCGGCCCCAAAGGCACGCCAGGCCGGCGCCTCAGCTGCGCTGCCCCCGCCGAGGACTGCCAGCCCTGCCATCAGCCCTTCGAGGAGGACAGCAGCGGCCTATCTGGCCATCGCCAGGCAGCGGCATCGGCGGGAGCAGCAGGCGGAAAGGCGGCAGCTGCAGTCGCAGGCCAAGAGGCCCTGCCTGGAGCCTAAGCAGCAGGAGCAGCCGCCTCCACAGCAGCTGCCGCCGCCTCAGCAGCCGGAGCCGGGGCGGAGCGGGATACTTCGGCTGGCACGCAGTCCGGGCCCGAGCCCGCCGGTCAGGGCAACGGCAGCCTCGCTGGCTCGGGCCAGGTACGGACTTACATGAGAAATGAAGCCAGTTAGGAGGCAGCTGGTGATGTCGAGCTCACCGAAAAAGGAACAAGAAGATAAGAAAAAAGAGAAGTAACGAAAAGAAAAGGAGAAAAGGAGGAACAAGCACAGGACAGAGAAAACGGAGCGCAGGAGGGCAAAGGAGCACTGCGCAGACGTGGACATGGTGCATTCACCGTCGCCAGATACGCCTACAGCACCGGAGCTGGAGCTGCCACACGTGGAGACGGTACCGATAGGAACGTCTCCGCAGTGGGCGCACGCTCTTGCAGCGCAGTCCGCGTACCTGATACCGGTCGCCTTGCCTGGCCTTCAGCCTTTTGTGACTTGTTTCATTGTAGGTAGGTCAAATAGTTGGTTTTCTATTCCACTTCTTTTCCCACTCTCTGAGGCGTCTGTCCTCCTCCCTCCCCGTCCTTTCCTTTCTCCTTGTCGTTGTTTGGGGGCATCCGAGGCCACCGGCAGCGCCGGCCCTCTTCGCCCAATTTTTTTATCCGGGTCGGCTTAGCTTTGTAATCTGCGGCTCCGCCCGCTAGTGATTCTTTATCTGTACTTAACATCCCATCTCTACATTAAATTTGCTATTCGCTTGAGATTTACAACATCAACAACATGGACTCGGCCGAGGCCACCGACCCTGCACCGGGTCACCCTTCCGAGGAGCCCGCCGAGCTACCCCCCCCCCCCCCCCTCCCAGGCCATCCCCGAGGGACCGGCTTTCCTGCTGATAACAAGGAAGGAGGGAAGCTTCAGACACACGAACCCCTTCTCCCTCCGCCGGTCCACCGACTCATACATCGGACCGGTGAACTCACTAAAAGCACTCAGGAGCGGCGCCCTCCTCATCGAGACGAAAACGGAAACCCAAACGATCCAAATGATGCGAACGGCCTCCTTCAGAGGCACCCCAGTCACGATCAGCCTCGCCACCCGGCTGAACTCTGTCGAGGGGTCGGTCCGCTCCGACGCCCTCACCGAGATAACAAACATGGAGCTCCTTCAGGAACTACAGACCCAGGGCGTCGTACGGGTCCAGCGCCTCCGGTCCCGCGACCTCCAAAATCTTGGGCCGAACCCCACCGTCCGGCTCACGTTCAGCGGCCGCATCCTCCCGCAGGCCATCCGATGCGGGTACCTCGCCGTGCCCGTGGACCCCTGGGTCCCGGCCCCGCGCCCCTGCACTAAGTGCTGGGCCTATGGACACTCTAAGCGCGCCTGCCGTCGACGCCAGCCCATGTGTGGCCGCTGCGGCGGGCCGCACGACGCTGAAAAGTGCGACGGCCCTGAACAGTGCCCCGGCTGCGGCGGTCCCCACCCGGCGTGGGACCGCCGGTGCCCTATCGCGGAGGACGCCAGGCAGTGGCACCGCGCGGAAGTAAAAAACCGCCGCGCGGAGCACCGGGCCCAAGGCCACGGTCGGCCCAACGGAGCCACGTGGTTCCGGGAGGAGCGGCCCGACGGGCTGCTCCCCGCCCCTCACCCGCCGTCGGACACCGGGTCCCCTCCCACTCGCTCCGCGACCGCCGCCGCCGCCGCCCGCCCGACCGCCGCTGCCGCCGCCGCCGCCGCCGCCGCCGCCGCCGCCGCCGCCCGCCCGACCGCCGCCGCCGCCGCCGCCGCCCGCCCGACCGCCGCCGCCGCCGTCGCCCGCCCGACCGACACCGCAACCGCCCCTCTCGCCGGGGACGACTGGCCGCCCCTGCCGGCCCCAGGCGCGACCCATAAGGTGGCCTCACCACCGGCACGCTCCGTGCCACCCGCTCCTAAGCGCACTACCGAGGACCCAGAAGCCGGCGCCATGTCCTCACCGGCCGCCCCTCAGGCCTCGCCCTCCGTCCGGTCCGTCACCGACACCGACACCGACACTGACGACCCCGCTCCAAGGCCGTCCCGCCTCTCCAAACACTCGAGCGGCTCCGCGGAGAGCCTCAGCAGCGGCCAGTCAGAGGCCGACACTATCTCCCTACAGCTCGACGAGCTAGACACTACCATAGTCAGCGCCCCCACCCCCTCACCGCCGCCCCACGACACTCCACCGCTCCGCCGGAACAACACCGTTCCCTTGAGCCTGGCCGACCTGGATGTGCTGGAGTCAGCCAGGTCCGGCCCGCTCACTCGGTCCGCTCTAAAGAAACAGTAATATGCCACAACACACGGAGGAATTCCTGCTCCAGTGGAATGCTAACTCTGTAGTATCCCACTGGGCGGAATTCCGTGAATATATAGTTAATAAAAAGCCATTAGTAGCCGCCATCCAAGAGACCCACTTCCTCGACACTGACTCGACTAAATATAACTTTAACCTCTTTGGATATTCTCTTTACTGCAATAACGTAAATGATTCCCCACGCCGAGGCGGTGTTCTTGATATTGCCTTGGGCCGGAATAACATAGCCGGCATTAAAGTAAAGTAAAACGGAAGATCTGGCTAATTGCCAGCTAGTAACTTCCCCCTACCCCGACCAGGGCCTCGGCCTGTCGGGAGCAAAATTCAAAAAAAAAAATGGAGCTGCCACAGGCGTGCCACTGCGGCAATTAGGCGATAGGAGAAAGGCTACGGCGCTTCAGCGGCTGCTTCCTAGCTTTTAGATCCCCGGCTGTGTGCGCCCGTCTTTATTAAGATGGGCGACACACCGGTGGCGCTAAGCCCCGCATAGAAGTGCCGTAGTAGGCAGGTAATTTAGGATCGTTTTCATTTTCTTTCATTCCCCTCTTCCAGGGACATCCTGTCCCACCCCCCACCCCCACTTCTTTATCTTGCTCTTTCGTTGTTGTTTGGGGGCCTCCGAGGTCACCGGCAGCGCCGGCCCTCCTGCCCATTTTTTTAACCGGGTCGGTTAGTCTTGCAAATCCGCGGCTCTGCCCGCTATTGATTCTTTCTATTCATAATAATCAGATATAAACACAAGTTAACCAGAGTAACATTAACATGCCTTTCTACCAGGATGAGGGGGCGGCCTCACTGCCCCCCTCCGAAACCATCCCTGACGGCCCAGCTTTCGTGCTGGTAAAAAAAAAAACCTAACGTTCAAAAACAGCAACCCGTTTACCATCAAGCGGTCTTTGGATCGCCTGTGCGGCCCCGTTATCTCGGCTAAGGCCGTACAGTCCGGGTCCCTTCTGATCCAGACGAAAAACAAAGAGCAAACAGAGATCCTCCTCAACATGACGACGTTCACCGACCAACCGGTGACAACCCAGCTCGCCCACCGACTGAACTCAGTGGAAGGTGCTCTCAGGAGCGAGGCGCTGACGGAGCTCAGCAACGCTGAGCTCCTCGACGAACTCAAGGAGCAAGGCGTCATCAAAGTCGAAAGGCTCAGGTCCAACAACATCGAAAAGATGGGTCCTAACCCCACAATAAGACTATGGTTCGCCGGGCGGGACCTCCCGCAAGTCGTGTATTGCGGCTACTTGAGAGTCCCGATCACGCCGTGGGTCTACGCCCCTCGCCCCTGCAAAAACTGTCTCATGTATGGCCACAGTGGGCGGGCGTGTCGTCGCCGCAAACCGCGGTGCGGACGCTGTTCGGAGGACCACCCGACGGAAGGGTGTAAGGCTCCCCCTCTTTGCTTCAGTTGCGGAGGGCCTCATCCGTCTGGGGACAAGGGGTGCCCCGTTGTCCAAGATGCAAGCCGTTGGCACCGGGAGGCCACAAGACAGGCAGCCAGGGAGCACCACATGAAACAGAACAGCCACACAACAAACGCGACCACAGTCACACTGGATCCAGCCGAGTGGCCCCCGCTCCCGGCAGTTCGCGAAAAGGTCCCGCCGCCGCGCCCACGCCCTCCGCGCCCAACACAAACAAGCGAGGACACGCCTCCGCCGGCGAGGCCGCCGCCTCCCCCGAACGAAGGCAGCACCGGAGAAAGCGGCAGCACCGGAGCTGGAGCTGCCAGGACGGAGGCAGCCCCGGAGCCGCCTGCAGCCACGGAGACGGAGACGGAGCCGGAGCCCCATGTCTCGGCAGTTCCTGACGGCTTTGAGCTGTGTAACGCATGTAAAGCTATGTAAACGGCTAGTAGATATGTCTTGAAAAGGAATAACACGTGCAACGAACACAATACTCTAAGCATCAACTGAATTCGTCGTTACAGCTTTAGTATACATGATACCACTCGGCTGGTTTTCATGATACCTACTCCTGTCTACGATTGTTGTTACCAACACCGACTGCTGAGAGAGTCCGATAAAATGAGATAAGACAAGTTGTCATTTGACGACACCTCGATAAAACACACGGCCTTCTCGATTGCAACAAGCTCGGATGAGAAAACAGAGGCTGAGGAAGGCAATGAAAAAGTGCGTGTGTCGCGACCAGCCACAAAAGCGCAGCGGACGCCGTCCTCGGTTTCCGAGCCGTCTGTAAATACCGAGAGGTTTCCGAACCGTCTGTAAATACCGATATAAATCCGTCTTATGACGCAATTTGTTACAGGGCCCGTGCTCGCTGCACATATGGCGGCAGGTCGTCCTTGTTGACCTCTAGAGAGCGCGAGGTGACCCAAATTGATCAATGAAATACAAGTCTTCAAGTCAATGAAAATACACAGCAGTAGTGCATGCAAGGGCAAATGCGAAGTGTATGCAATCAAATCAAGCAAGAATGCAATACCTCACATGGTTAGCTGCTTAGGGCTTATCGACCCATCAACCAACGCGGAAAAAGGCACAAAAGAAAACAACCGACAGGGCATCAGACACCAGCACTTCGTTGGACCCGCCAAATACTTTGCTAGTTGGGTCATTTACGATCGTAGGAAACTGTTCACATTGACGTACACGAAGATATATAAATAGACCAAGTTAAATAAAACTGATGCTCGGGAGGGTGCTGAAAGGTTGGCGACTATCGGCGCAGCGGTTCTGCAGATATATCGAGAAGTCGATCGAGAGAAGAGAAGAAGAGGGCGGGGGTTGTTGTAATTCCGTGTTCACGCGTAAGTATGTCATCTAGCACAGCGCGGGCGACAAATGCCATCACTCAAATGAGGCGCCGACTACGCACAACACCGGCACCCACTTATACAATACACGACCATTCGCAACATTAACTTGAACCTACCTACATTGCTAGGAGATGAGCACCCGAAGCTCATAAAACTACTCTTCTCTTTCCTTCTTAACAGCAACCTTACACACAGTATATAGATGTTCTTATGGTCTTCCATCGTTGTCTCCATCCGCTTCGCTTTGCTTCCATTCGCTCTCGTTTCCTTCGCCTACACACGGGTCGCCTTTTCCAAGTGTATTTAAGTGTACATATGTATGTAAGCCAAGTCGTACCCCTCAGACGGGAGGGACATGGCTCCGCTCACCGAGCGAAGGCCAGCCAAAGTTGTACCCCTAAGACGGGCGGGACATGGCTGGCGGCACCCGGTTAACACCGGCTGCCCTACCTAACCCGCAGAGGAGTCGCCGGACTGACCGGTTATTATTTGGTCAGTCCGCGCACACCTCTTGCGCGCAAATCCACATACAATGCCACTTCTAGTGATCGGCCATGACAACAGGAGGAGCAACAGCCGACGGCTGCAGCCGTCGGCTGCGCTCCAGCCGACGGCACAGCAGCCGCCGGCACCCGAGGGCGCAGGTATTTTTTTATGAAATGGGCTTTTCATTAGATATTCTGCCAGCGCAAGGAGCCACAAGAATCAAAACACCAATGTAGGTGACGAAGTCTGAAGGAATGTTTGTGTTTCCACAGGATTCGTTGTCGCTTTCAGACGGTCCGGTACTCGTCAAGGAGCAGGCTACCGGCGTACTGGTGAGTCCTCGGGACCCATCTACCGTCAAGTGCGCCGGGAGTTTGGCCTGGCTCCAGGCGAGGAGTACCGGCCGTCGACGGGAGCCGCTGCGGACAGCCGCTTCAGCCGGTGGAGCCCCGCAGAGCTGGCCATCCTGCGCTGTCTGTGATATATATGTATTAACATGTGTGTTGTGTTGTATATTATTTGTGTTAACTTGTGTTGTATGATACAAAGTTATGTTTATCGATGTGTCGTGCTTATGAGTATTCACAGATAAAATGAATATCTACTTCTACGAAGGAGAAAGCCCTCCGTTCTGGGAGTCCTCATGGCAACACTTTAGGAGACACAGACGAACTCCTCTTAACCATTACCGAGTTCGACCAAAAACCAGTGACCATTGAGGCATTGAACTCCCCCACCACCTCAGCCGAGGGCGCTGTGAAAATTGACGCTCTCACCGAACGTGGCGGTGTGACGTGGCGTCACCGTAGCAGCCAGCGCAGCGCCGGTGTCAATGCTACATCTGGTCATTGCTCGTGCGCCCGTGGCCCATTCACATGTGGATTATGATGCAATCAGCAGACACACAAAGTAACCAGGCGTCAACAAAGCTGCCAAAGCAGACAACAAAAACCCAAATTGATCAATGAAATACACAAATCTTCAAATCAATGTAAATACATACCAATAGTGCATGCAAGGGCAAATGCGAAGTGTATGCAACCAAATCAAGCAAGAATGCAATATGTACATCACATGGTTAGCTGCTTAGGGCTTATCGACCCATCAACCAACGCGGAAAAAGGCACAAAAGAAAACACAACCGACAGGGCATCAGACACCAGTACTTCGTTGGACCCGCCACCCACTTTGTTAGTTCGTCATTTACGATCGTAGGAAACTGTTCACATTGACGTATACGAAGATTTACAAAGTTTTTTTTTTTCAAAGCTAGATAACGGAAGGAACATATGAAACAAAGGCCGATGTGGCGGCTGAAAGAAGACACTGCCACTTTCAATGATCAATGCCATCCTCCCTGAGAAGTTGTTCTGGAAAATTGATCGTAGATGGGGTCGAACTAAGGTCACGAGTACGCTGTGTGGAATATCGTGTACTAACATGTACACTGAGTTCGGCTTATTGCACGCTGGCCTTTCGTCGCCACAAAGAAGGTGACCAGGGGTTGCAATCGTGTGGCTGATGCCCAGGCCACAGACACCTTCTCGTGTCTGCTTTAGAACAAGGAGCTCCAACAAGGCCAAAGGAAACATCTGAAGGCCAGGCTAAAAAAAATATACGGCAGGTAAGAAAAAAGGGCCTCGCCGACCCCAGGGTGGCTGGATCCGCCCTAAGTCCCCCCAAAAAAGCCGTCAAGCGGCCCATGTCGCCGTCGCCTCTGCAGGCCGCCGCCTACGGGGAGGCCCCGACAAGGCAGCCCCACCAGAAGCGACCGCGCGCAGCCCCACCAGCGCGTCGGTCGACGGTCCACGGTCCCGCTCACAGCCCCAGCCTCAGCCCATCGAGGAGGGCAGCGGCCGCCTATCTGGCTCTAGCCAGAAACAAGCATAGGCGGGTGCAGCTGGCAGCTACGCAACAGCTCCAGCTGCCGACCGGGAGCCGGGAGAGGCGGCGGCGTCATTCGCAGCAGCAGCCCCAGCGGCCGAAGAGACGGCCGGGACCGAAGACGCAGACGCAGGCCCGCAGGAGAGAAGAAGAAAATAAAAGAGAATAGAAAAGAATTCAAAGGCTAATGCAAGCTGGAGCGAAAGCCGTAACGGGAGCCGCAGCCGGAGACAGAGCCGGTGTCGGGAGCGGACTTGCCGAAGGCGCCGGTACCCCACGGATTTGGTGAGCCCGCGTATTACATCGGGGTTTCCTTATTTGTATTTATTTAGTTATCACTGGCATGGTATTACCGTAGGTCAGGTGCTCAGAGTGTACTGCAACTTGCTAGGTACTGACAGTACGCTGTGTGGAATATCGTGGACAAACAGGTGAAACACTTGACTTCATGCACACCGCGCACGCTGGCCTTTTGTCGTCACAAACAAGGTGACCTGAAGGTGAACAAGGACAGGTGACGGTTAGATTAATTCATCTGCATAAGTACGCTTAGTGCCAATATCACTAACTGCAATGTATTATTTCTGCAGGATCCTGTCCATTGTTCTTTCCATGTCTGGATACAGGACTGGCGCCATTGTGGGCGCCACGCTGGCCGAGTGGCAGACAGCAGAGGTAAGACGAGCTTTGTCGATAACTTGTGATGTATTTGAGCAGCCAGGGGTCTAATATTCTAAGTAATTACATTATAACAATCGTACTAAATATCAAAGGTGGCCAATAATTGTATTTTTAATAAGAAAAATCTGTAAACAAATGAGCAGCCGCCTGGCAGAGGGTGCTGCCATTGCCAGATGTCGGAGGACGGTCAGGCGTTCTCCTGGTTCACCATGGCCAACAAAACCCTGGGCACCTACGGCGCGGCGCTGGTCGTGGTGACCAAGACTGTCCAGGAGGCGCTGACCTACTTTGTCCAGCACCTCCGGCATCTCATTGTCACTGAGCTGCCCAAAAACGGTAGGCTATTCGATATTTAAAAACAATATTTATCGTTAATATCCGCTATATGAATGACGTTTAGCAGTGTTCAATGACGCTGCGATAGTATCTTGGTTTCCACTGCACCGACCTGCGTGGGGGAAGCTGCTGGCTGCAGGTATCTTATCGACAGGCCCACTCAGAGCCCAGTCATGATATGTTGCTGCTGTTTGGTTTGCGACAGCCGACTCCCAGCGGCTGCTGGTGGCTGCTCGGACCAGCACCGCTGTCCTGGACCGGGCGCTGAAAGCGGCCGCCGATGATGGAGCCTAACCGGCTCAGCAAAACCAACAACTGAAAACTTGTTTTGCTTTGTTTTACCAGATGGTGATCACCAGCAATGTCCTCAAGCATGCAGATGTTTTATTCGCGAGTCATCTGACGAATGCACCAAACTTTACCAAAACTGAGCAAATCTCTTTTACAACAAAAATCACCATAGGTACCATGAAACTATTCCAATATCTGGTTGGAAAGTACCTAATGCCTGATAATGTGAGAACTCAGGTACATATTGAACTAGCGCAACATATGCTGAAACTGATCGAACCTAACTGTGGAGCTAACCAAATTGCACCAAGTGTGCCCAAAAGTGCCGTCGTGAAACTGGCTAAAGCTGC